ATAATGGACGAAAGAATCTGGCCCTTTTGGCGTCAAGATGCCGACATCTCAACAGAATGCCTTCGGGTGTCGGTCTCTCACCGCATCAAGCGCACAATATTGGACCTTCCCCATCGGTGGCTACCTTTTGCTTACATAGCGTATAACTGTGTTGCATGCATTCGGTATGCTGGTTTTACGTGCCTATATCGTTTTTATTGTTATACATGTTAATTCGTTTGCGTAATAATTAACTTACAACTTGGATAAGGAGGGCACTTGCTTCCGTTCCCCCTTACACACACCACTGGTAGTCGTGTATTCCATACGTGGAATGTGTCCTTCAGTCTGTGAGTCTGAGACGTGGTGAGTCTGGTGTGTCTCGGCTTTTCCTGTGATGGTCAGTTGGGATGTGAACAACCGTCAGTCGGGACGTTAAAATTTAGACGTTTAGATAGTTTACGTTTACGATAAAGTGCGTGAGGTGTTCTGGGTGATGATGTCTGTATTCTTCATCTTATTCCAGCAGCGATGGAGCACGAAATAATAGACGACTTCCGGATACTGTGGCTCTGTGAAGCATCCCAAGTGTTATTTGAAAGCCTCGATGACACTGCACATGACGCCGCCGCAGTTCCCGTTCTCCCCTCGGACATTACTGTATCGGCGGATGGAAGCAAGGTGAGAACAAGCACCAAACATTACCCACGGCCTGGAGGGGTTCAGGTGTACCGAAGTCAGGCATTGACCAGGTCTGCGTGCAGGTCGCACTGGAGTCTCAGATTTTAAGATGCATGCGTTTCGCACCATACGACATCTCCGTTTCCCTCGTAATTCGCGAACACGTACGACCTACGCGAAGCTGGTACACTTCCTCACTTACCTGCACTTGTCTGTTTTGTCTCCAGTCTTGGTATTTCTTCCTTATGTTGGTAAGGGTGTCATGCCAATTTGCATCGCTTAAATAGACATGAAAGTTAAAAACGGCTTTCTCGAGCGCATGACAAGGCATCAGCTGAATATACGGACGCGTCTCAGCTCGGCGGAAACATCTGTGCACGGTTAAATGGGCTATTTTAAATTCCAGTGTCATAAAACCTGATCTGCGGGTAGAGAAAGCCCCGAAAAGTGGGTGTCACAAAATAGCCAAATTGATCGTGCTTGAATTCCTAAATTCCGCTGCTTTACTTGGTGGCAACTTGTTCACTGTCACAGCTTGCAATCTGCGTTGTCCACCTATGACTGGAGACCCTCCGGCTGTGTATCCAAATCCGTGTAGTTGTGTGTGAGCGATCTGAATGCTAATTCAGGGCATCAAATCAAGCTTCGGGCAGTTAAATCGGACAGTTAAATCTGACTCCTCTTTGCTAAATCATTGCCATTTGACTGTGAGTCCCCGCACACTCTGCCCCGCCCTCCCGGTTTGCATTGCCCGGAGCACTTGTATGCTGTGCTGGTCGCTGTCCGGTTCGATGCAGACTGGCCGCTCCAATGTAGGGGAAACAATAGAAAATGAACCCCAACACAGGATGTAATGACACAAAAATGCCCACATCTTTCACCCCTAAGTGAATAAATGCTGTCGCACCGCTGTTGGGAGTGTGGGCCGAAAATTTTCCAGAGCTGCTGGGGGTGGTGATTGTCGGTAAAAACCTTGTCGAGAGAGATCATTTGGACGACAGAATACCACATGATTGCCATTAGTAATACCGTTACTAACTGGTAGCAGTTCGGCAAAAGAGCTGTGAGCACCTGCTGCACGGAGACGTTTGCAGGTGGAGCTGACGGAACGTCCCAGCCATGAGGACATGTTTGAAACGATGCTGGTGCGAGATGAGGGCGCTGTGCGGCGGGCTCTGGACTGCTTCCTGGACCGGCCCATATCGGCTCTGCATGGCAACTCCATAATGTTCTATAAAGCGATTGAACAACGAGAAGAGACGCTAGAGGTGCAGCTCGACTACGGTAAGGGCTGCATCGGATATTTTGGGCAGTCACTGGTGTTGGAATGTTAGTTGGACGCTGTGCTGGTACGTACTGCTGTGAAATGCTTGAAATGTCAGTCGTACGCAGAAGTGGATGCAAGATATCACCGTCTTTATGTCCTGAGTAACAGTGGCCCGTGCAAACCCATGTCTCAGCCACAAGCGGCCCTGGCGTCCAGCAGCTTTTCCACGAGTGCTCAGCTATGCCTCACGGCAGCATTCTGGCCGACCGCCGAATCAGCGACACTGCCTCTCCCCGACATTGATGGCACGCCATCGGTCAAACGATATCATCTTCAAATAGCTGACCGGCCCTGATGCTGGCCCTTTCCCGTGTGAGAGCTTCTCACCGGTGTCTGCGGCCGTGAGCAGGATTGCGTGGAACGCGGGCACGCGCGCATGAGCCTCGCCTGTCGGCCAGACGAGACCGGCGGCGAGCAGAGCGAGCAGGGCGAGGAAGAGGAGGAGGAGGAGGAAGAGGAGGAGGGCCGACCGGCACGCGAGCGCGCCGCCGTCGCCGTCGCCGGTTCCGAAGGCGGCACCGCCCGGCCACACCGCGCCGTGGCCGACGAACCGGCCACTGGTGAGACACGGTTGGCGCCGCAGGCGTGCGGCCAACGGCACGGACAGGTGACGCGTGGCATGCGCAGAAGGGAGGCATACCCGTATACGCAGGAGGGACGGCTGCGCGGATAGAGCACGCTATCGGCGCGGCGTGGTATACATGCCGCGTATTCCCTCGTAGCTCCGGATTGTCCATGCTTTCTCGTGGTATAAAGGCTGGCCGCGTCATTCGACCGATTGAATGGAATGGAAGCTGAAGAAGATGTTAAATTGCGCGTTACAGGTCGGCGCCTCACTGCAGACTGGGCATGTCGTTACGTTGGCCATGCCAGTGCCATGCGTGTACATTGTGCAGACGCGCTGGAAATTGGATATAAGCCACGGGACCAGAATATGATATGGCTCAGCCGATCGAGCGGCTGGAGGACAGTGATTATGGGCAATTAGACGATAATAATGGTTATTTCCGAGAATATGGGTGCGGTTTTGTCTTCCGGGCAATTCCCGAACAGAACGATGGCCATAGCACGATCACGTCATCTGCTATCGCGACGTAAATCTTTCGATACTTATATAATGACCTGAGGCTGGGATAGCCATCTGGGATGATGCTTTGCGTACATTTAGACTATCTCAAATGAGAGTTAGACAGTAGTTTTATGTAGAATGTTGTCATTCTGCAGGCAGATTGGGTCAGGCTGCATGCTGTTTTTTCGTCTGATTGTCTTTCTTTTAAGTAGTGGCATGCGTCGTGAGAACTGTGAGACTACTTCCAAATATGTAAAACAGCAGGACTACATTTCAATTACAATTAGCCCCCACTGCGTATCTGCTGTTGCAAATGCACGCCATTGCACTTTGGTGTCATTATGTAGCACAGAGAAGTACGTACCTTGTTACGCACAAATGCTACTTGTGGGCCATGTTTGTGTTACTTGGATGCGTATATGGAATGTGTATTGGGTGTGCATATTGTGCATTTGCATTGTGTGCACAACAGCTACCTTTAAGGCATGATATACCCCGTTTCGCAGCTGAAAGAAAAACCGTGCCCCACAGAATGTTTAGTCACGTCACATGCTTCTGCCCGTTCAAGCCACAACCCATCAAGAGCTTCAACCTTGAACCCATTTTTTGTCAATGAAGACCACGATACCTTGACCCGGTGGCTGTGTACCTGCCCACCGCTGAGACGCCGTCTGCCGAGATGCCATCCTAAGCGATGCGTGCCTTCTGTCGGCAGCCGTCGAGATCGACGAGCGCACGTCGGCGTCGTCGCTGACCGGTGCCGAGTCGGCTGGCCAGACGTCGGCGCCGGCGCCGGACGCCGCCTCGGCCGACGACGGCGAGTCGGCGTCGCTGGAGCAGCAGCAGACGGTAACCTGCCGCGGCGGACCGCACCCACGGCCCGGGCGGCTCCGGCCCCAGCGCCCCCTGAGGCCCCAGCGGCTGCTGAGCTTGGCCGCTTTGGGGCTAGAGCAGATCAAGGAAAAATTTGTGGAGATATAATAGATGGATAGTAACTTGGTGTAAGGGAATACATTTATGAATGGACGTCGGCCATTTCAACGGGTAAGAATATGTTTGTTGAAAAGTGGCCATTGGTTGTCATTATCTCTGACCTTCGCGTCGCTGTGTATATTATCAAGATCCCTTGTGACTGCGAGTTCACTGACATGCTGGCACACTCCGTCGCAGAGAACCATCACCAAGCGGATTACCCGGCCGGTGATTCGATTTGCCACGACGCTGACACCGGAGGTCATCGATGGGCAAGTAAGTTGCTTGAATGTGATCAGCCTTCTGAAATCACCGCTGTTCAATGCATGCATTATACAAGGACCGCTTGTCCAATCTCTATGACATGTCCAGGCTGCGTTTCGGTGCAGCTTACGTCGACGAGGGTCAGTCGGGGCTCCAGGCTACAGCACTGCCGTCGGAAACCTGGTCTGTTGAGGCACTGGTGCCCATCAGCAGCGTCGTCGACGGGGCGTGTGCTGTGCTCCCAAGGTTCCTGGGGCGGTGTTCCTCCGTCGATGAGGGTCAGCCAGGGCTCTAGGCTACAGTACTGCCGTCGGAGACCTGGTCTGTCCGAGTGCTGGCGACCATCAGCAGCGTCGTCGACGGAGCGTGTGCTGTGCTCCCAAGGTTCCTGGGGCGGTGTTCCTCCGTCGATGAGGGTCAGCCAGGGCTCTAGGCTCCGGTACTGCCGTCGGAGGACTATGTCTGTCCGAGCGCTGATGACCATCAGCAAGCGTCATCGACAGAGCGTGTTGTGCTGTGCTCCCAAGGTTCCTGGGGCGGTGTTCCTCCGTCGATGAGGGTCAGCCAGGGCTCTAGGCTACGGTACTGCCGTCGGAGACGTAGTCTGTCCGAGCGCTGATGACCATCAGCAGCGTCGTCGACAGAGCGTGTGCTGTGCTCCCAAGGTTCCTGGGGCGGTGTTCTTCAGCCGGCGCAGCCCGAACAACGTGCCCGAGCCGGCCGACGCGGAGGCGATGCGAGCAGAAATGCCAGGGCATTTTGAGTTCGGCACAATGGACACGCAAGTCCTCGATGACCTCGATGTAACGCTCCAAAAGGTCAGTACGGTGGGACTAATGCGTGTGAATGGTTTGATTGCCTCGACCACCACGCACATTAATTTTGCCTATATTTTAACGTTTTTCATTCTTGCTCATATTAATGTGGTATAATGTAGAACATTTTAGGGTGTTGATATTGTTAAATATAATTATAGTTGTTTCTCGTTTCACTTTGAATCACCATTGATGCAACCGGTACAATCTCTACGGTCAGTGACCAGTTCATTCACGGACTAAGGCGATCTCAGACCAGTGTGACCAGTTTTGCCATTTTTATTCTGCTAATGTATGCTGTTATTTTTACGCATTGAATGAAGTGCCCCAATGTTTTTTTGTGTGCACTGCTTTTGCTTATCTTCTTTCGGTCTTTTCTGGCACAACACTCTCATGTAGAGTAAGGTGGCTGATGTATTTTTTTGCGATTTCATTGTTCGGCTAAGCCTAATCTGGATGAAGGGCATGCACCTGAGCCAGTATAATCAGCTGGCCGGGTAGGGTGGCCACTGACCGCTGTGTCGTATCGGCAGCGGTTCCTGCCGATACTGCAGTATCGGGACACCGAGGCGGACGGACAGGAGCGGGCGGCGGCGGGCGCCGGCGGCGACGCCAGCTCCTCCCGGCCGACCACCGCTCAGCCGGTCAACCGACGCACCTCCATCCGGCTCCAGCTGCGCGACGAGTTCCTCATCAACTTGCAGAAGCTGATCGCAGGCACCGCCAGGTGGGTGTGGAACGGTGGGCGGGGTCACGAGAGCTGCTGGGTCCAGCCTGAGGTGATACACCTTCGCCGGCGGCCGGCGGAGCGGCCACAGGTGCCGGGTCCAGCCCAAGGTGATTCACCTTCGCCGGCGGCTGGCGGAGCGGCCACAGCTGCCGGGTCCAGACAGAGGTGATACACCTTCGCCGGCGGCTGGCGGAGCGGCCACAGCTGCCGGGTCCAGACAGAGGTGATACACCTTCGCCGGCGGCTGGCGGAGCGGCCACAGCTGCCGGGTCCAGACAGAGGTGATACACCTTCGCCGGCGGCCGGCGCGAGCGGGCCAGACGGACAAAGCTATGGTGAAACGAGTGTCTGTCCTTCTATCCTGGGCAGACGACACCGACTCCCAGACCGTGTGGGCCCCCACAACGCTCACGCTTTTAGGAAGGGAGCTGGCGGTTTGCACGCCGGACGTGACGCTCTGGCTTTCAGCCGGCCGCTGAGTGGCAGCGCGCCCGGCGGCGTCGTTGGCCGTCGTGTGTTGGTGACTGCTGGGCGGCCGGCTGGCAGGACCCGCGAGCAACTCAGCACGCGCTTCTTCCTGGACCTGCCCGAGCTGCCACTGCTGGAAGCGTGCGCCAGCGGCGACGGCGAGCTGGTCGAGCTGGCCGACAACCAGCAGCTGGTGGCTATGGTGGAGGAGACGCTGGCCACCTGGCAGCAGGACATGGCCAGAAACCTGGACGGCATGATCAACAAGGTGTGCGCCGGCTGACGGCCGCCGACGGCATCAAGGGAAACCCGCACCCGTAACAGCTGTTATGGCAGACGGTCTTACTGTTTTGCAATAACGAACTCTTTTCTTTTCCACGTTTTTGCGGTACCTATTGCCCCAGACCTTGCATATTTCGGATTTTGTTTCACACTGTTTTCCGCATGCAATCTTGCATATTCATCGTTTTGTTTTACTTGCTCCTCAGACACTAGTTATTAAAGCGTTTCGTGCACCATTTACCGGTGACATGAACATCATCCTGTTAACAAAACAGTTAAGGCTTCCTTGCTACACTGATCTATGCCATTGTTTTTGGAGCACACGCGTAGTTGCGACAAATCATTTTCAGACGGCGGCCCTTAGTCAGCTTTAACACTGCAATTAGTTCAGGTGGTTGCAGCTCACCAAGACATCCGTCTTATGCCCACCTTCTGGCGTCTTCGAACTCAAACGCAATCATGTACAACCTCACCCAAGTTTCTTGCTGCTAAGCAGGGCGGCAGCCGTTGTCACACTTAAAACAGGGCACGCCTGACCCCAGCTCCGTGTGTGGTGCACAGAAGCCGACCGCCAACGGCTGCATGGCGGAGCTGGATCTGTGGCGCGAGAAGCACTCGGAGCTCTCCTCCCTGGTGGAGCAGTTCAAACTGCCGACAGGTGTGCTCCGACAATGGCCTGTCCATCACCTTGCGTCTGTCTGTATTATCTGTGCTTATAGTTTATTTATATATTCATTTGTTATCTATTGGTATTAGCATATACATTAGTTATTGGTGTTAACATATTTATTAGTCATTAGCATTGGTATATGTATTAGTTACCCCGTTCATTATGTCAACCGTGTCGATTCAATCGAGCACGTAGAAGTTGTTGAAGTTCAACATTTCGTTAAAAACTCGACGATTTTATGTGAAAACAAGCTCATAGAATACCACTATTCCTGCTGGCGTTCGTCGACCGAATGAAATTGTATGTGAGGCTCGTCAGTGCACCGCTGTCCGGTGCCCAGTCTCCATTTGGCTGGCTCTGGCTGTGTCCAGTGCCCAGTCTCCATTTGGCTGGCTCTGGCTGTGTCCGGTGCCCAGTCTCCATTTGGCTGGCTCTGGCTGTGTCCAGTGTCCCGTCTCCATTTGGCTGGCTCTGGCTGTGTCCGGTGCCCAGTCTCCATTTGGCTAGCTCTGGCTGTGTCCAGTGTCCAGTCTCCAGTCGGCTGGCTCTGACTGTCTGTGTCCAGTGTCCCGTCTCCAGTCGGCTGGCTCTGGCTGCGTCCAGTGTCCAGTACCCAGTTGGCTGGGTCTGGCTGCGTCCAGTGTCCTGTCTCCAGTCGGCTGGCTCTGGCTGTGTCCAGTATCCAGTATCCAGTCGGCTGGCTCAGGCTGTATCCAGCGTCCAGTCTCCAGTCGGCTGGCTCTGGCTCTCTGTCTGCGCATCTCGTTCGCCGAGCGTCAGCACCGGTGTGCTGCTCCAGTGGTGAAGATGGTGCAGCTGCTGGAGCTGGTGGACTCGAGCGTCATCCAGGGCTTCCACATGCAGGTGGAAGACGTGCAGCGCTGCCACCGCGAGGCTTACGACAACGTCCGCTTCCTGGCGACACTGGAGCGTCACTTCAAGGTATGCAGGGCCGCGGCCTGGACGGCCTGACGTGCTTCGATTGTATGCGGAAGCCAGCCTCCATACGGACCCTGCTTTTGCCAAATGGTGTTAAATTGAAGCTGAACGGTATAGAAAAGTAATGTTGGGTTTATGGATTCGCCCCTGTGTATGTGCCAGGCAATACAATTCGTAACTAGGCAACGATACTTCCGAGCAGAGACAGTGTTTTGGAGTCTACGGGTGTAAGTATTGGAGGAGATATCTGGAAAATGGATCGTATTAGATACATCATATTCATGCCCTGCTTTGAATATTCCTTTCTTAACGCTGTCAGTACGACCGAGAGAACAGCCAACAATATTTGAAGCATAGCAGACTATGGAATATTTGACCCTAGTTGTCACAACCAACACCAGCCCTGTGTCTGCATCCCAGAATATCACCATTGACAACAGCACCGTTTGATCTGGGCACTGTCTTCCATCTGTATGTCACCGCAGGGGACAGAGCCGTCTCGTTATAACACTACCCATCGTCTGTGGACGTTGCCTCGAACTTAAACGCTGTTCCGTGTTAGCGCCGTCCCTCGGCCCCGCCTGTTGCGCTCTCTGACAACATCTCTGTGACGTCATCAGACGGTGCGCAGCCACCCGTCGCTGGTGGTCGTGGCGGACACGCTGCCCCAGGTGATGGACAGCCTGCGCATGGTGTGGATCCTCTCGCGCCACTACAACCGCGACCACAGGATGGCGCCGCTCATGGAGCGTCTCGCCTGGGAGCTGTCCACCCGGGTCCGCAACTCCATCTCCATCAAGACGCTCTTCAAGTACGGCTGCTGGCCAGCGACGGGCGTCCGCCGCTCCGCTCGCTAGCTCAGGGGACGGCGGCGCAGACGGGACCCGGGGTGTCAGAGCAGAGAGACGGGCTCGCCATGGTGATGGGTGTCAATCGCTCAAACACGCGCGTCGGCTGTGGCGTGTTTGTGTGGGGTGATGGTGTGATGGTCTGACCTGCCCTGGGGCAGGCGCCTGGATCCAGGTCGCGTGCTCGGCTCCAGCGACCCTGCGACTGCGATCCCCTATGTTGGACCGCAGACGGCGGCGCGGCGACGTACGCCTGTGTGTCTGTGCGACAGGCAGCCGCCGCGGGAGGTGCAGGACACGGCGTCGGCGGCCGTGCGCCTGCTGACCCGGTGGCGCGAGTCTTACCTGGCCACGCGATCCGAGATCGAGACGTCCGGCCGCGGCGCCCGCTGGGAGTTCGACCGCAGGCGGCTGTTCGACGACACGGACCACATGGCCGCCATCTGCAACAATCTCCATCAAGTGGCGGTGGTCAGTTCTCGTCAGCCTTCGTGCTTTTTCAATAGCCGTCAGTCAGTTCTATGTGCCTTTTAGAGGTGTCAGATGAAGTAGGGATATAACCACTTGAACTTAATTTGTATCTCCTCCTACATCCTTGGTAACAAATGAATCGTTGTAAGGTGTGCTATAAATCTTTTCGTCCTAACCTTTAACCCGGCTAGTACCTAATTTGGATTCGGTATGATAGCGCAGGCGGCAAACCGTGGTACTGTAAGTCCCTGCTTGCCCGATTGCCCCAAGCATTTTGTCTTTGGTAGCAAATTAGGTACCAGTCTAATGATGGTTACGTGACAGGTTCTGTGCGGTCAAAAAAGGCATACTCTGCTCCCGGTCCTTGAAATTACCCGCACGGTGCCGTTAAGCGAACACAATCCTAGATTTCCAACGACTTGGCAAGTGCTCCAAGTCCCTTCCATTGGAATCACTTAGACTGGGCCCATAGCAATGCCCGCGCTGTCGCTGCCGCCGCCAGGTGCTGGAGGAGTTCAACAACATCTTGTGCCCGGACCTGAGGGCGGTCACTTCTGACCCGCACCGCATGGATGACGTCAAGCAGCGCGTCAAGAACCTGGTGGTGCCGTTCGAGGCGGTGGCGTTCGACATATTCAGCATCAGGTGCGGACTTTGAGGTGTCGGACTGGCCACACCGCCTGGCGCGCGCGTGGGCACCAGGCCGGGCCGTGGGATGGAGTGGCATCTGCTCCAGCGTGACCCATCTGGCGGGAGTAGTTTACACGTGAGATGGAGTGGCGCCTGCTCCAGCGTGACTCCTCGGGCGGGGGTAGTTTACACGTGGGATGGAATGGCATCTGCTCCAGCGTGACCCCTCTGGCGGGGGTAGTTTACACGTGGGATGGAGTGGCACCTGCTCCAGCGTGACCCCTCTGGCGAGAGTAGTTTACACGTGGGATGGAGTGGCACCTGCTCCAGCGTGACCCCTCTGGCGGGGAAAGTTTACACATGGGTGGGCTCGCACGTTTAAAGTCGGTCCAAAGTTTTGCGCCAAGGCTGGCATGCCGTCATCGGTGCTTTTCTACCTACTTGGCTGCTGATGCTCTATGGCGTCGCGCTTCTCGCCCTGACGGGAAAGGTGAGCACCACGGGGAGTCGAGCCGCGTGGCTCTGTTCCCCAGACGCGCTGTGTACTGTGAAGCCGATGCACTGCAGGCACTCGTTAAAGTGACTTGTGCATAGTGCAGTGATTTGAAAGAATAGAGAAACGTGAAAATGGTAGGTACACTTTACAGTGGGAGTGAAGCATATCCGTCAACCAAATACTATGCTTCAGGGAAAACGAGGTGCATCTCAGAGCGCGTACGCCTTGCGTTGCAGACTGCACCACATGTGGCAGGGTGTGATGGACAGGTTCGGCACAGAAGTGCTCCGAATCGAATCAGAGGCCAAGAAGTTCCTCGACGAGAGCTTCAGAGCGCTCAGGTAACTACGCCTGGAAGCCTGAACCTTGGTAGGGCCACTTGGAGCAAGGACCGCACCCGCCGTTTGTCCGCCGTGCCCACTTGGAATCTTCCTATGATAATTTTGCACGCCTGCATTTTCACCATATTGAAAATCGGCATCATGAAACCCATTTTGTGAAGAAATGAGGGACATTTCCGATCGTGCAGCTCGTGCGTGTTCGTTGGTGTGGCACACCGGCCGTGCCCGTTGCAGGTCAGCGGAGTCGGCGTTCGACGTCGTGCGCAAGTTCGAGCACGTCAAGTCTCGCCAGTCGATCAACAACGAGCTGCGACGCAAGTACAGCGACATCCTGAACCAGTACAAGCGAGAGGTCGATGACGTGGCGAAGATGTTTAACGTGAGCAGCCGGAGCGCCGCCGGCTCAGCGATGGTTCCACTGCGCCGCTCGTTTGGTTCTGATCGTGTCTCGTGGGTACATCTAGGCTACGTGGCTGCTCGGCAGACAGCGTGGCAGGTCTAAGTCTACAACAGATGACGGAGGGCGCATCGTGTACTAAAATGTGTCAACGCACGAGAAGGGAAATGGAAGGATGGCGTGTGCGTCTGACCGTTAGTTGCCTAGTACCGCCGCTTCAATCGTAACGCGTGATGCCGTAGCCTGCGCACCGATGTAATTGACTACCTCGCTGGAAACCGTGTTAAACGTTTAAGACCAGGATGCTGACGTTTTGGTTAACGCACGTCATTTGACGCAGGAGTGCAAGGACGCTCCTCCACTGCACAAGAACCATCCGTCCGTGTCGGGGGCCATCCACTGGGAGCGCCTGCTCTTCCACAAGATCAAACGCACCATTGTCAAGTTCTTGAAGTGCGACGCCATGATGAACACCGAGATGGGACAGAAGGTGGGTCAGATAGCTGGTACTTAATGTTGCCGGGAGCTCGTTCGAGCTGACCGCGATGCGTATTGCGGCCTGGGGGTCAGGTATCTGAGCCCTGTGACTCTCTCCAAAGGGTGCTACGCCTGGGGCGGGGCTTAGTGCCCAGTTCTTAGCTCTGTGCGAAGAAATACCAAATGTAGGCCATTGCCGCACTTAGGTAATGGCTGCATATTCACGGTACATATATTCAGACAATCGTGAGACAGCGCAATCATTCGCCGCGGTGATGGTGAACATCAGTCCTCAGCGCATGGGCTGATCGGTGTGGAATGATGATATGCACACAAATATCATGGACATTGTTACACTGAGTATTACCCATGTGGATCACTGAAACTTTTGCAGCATCTTTTATTCCGTCATTTGCTTATTTCTTACAAAGTCGATGGTTTTTATTGTGTTTATACACTGGATAAGGCGTGAACTTCACTCATGCCCAGCACGTTTGCCATATCTACACTCGTACGCTCGTCCAGCTCAGGATAGCGCCTCTTTAGCTTTTATTTCATGCTCGCAGAACGGGCCACACACCCTGCCTGTTGATTATGAAGACATATCTCACATTCGTTCCATGCCGGCGGCCCAGGTCGGCCACCAGCTGGCCGGCGGCCGCGTGAAGGCGTCCGTGACATTCTCGCTCCGCCTGCAGGCCAAGGCCCACTACCTGACGGTGGGGCGCCAGATGAAGGCGTACGAGGACCAGCTGTACGCCAGCTGGCGGGAGCGTACCGACCACCTGCTGCCGCAGCTGCTGCGGAAGACCGTGCTCGGCGAAGTCAACAAGACGGCCTTCCGGCCCGGTCAGTTGTCCCGGTCACGTAGCGGGGCCTCTGGCGCGCGGAGCCGAACAGCAGCAGACCGGCACCCATAGCGCTTCCGCTCAGACAGGCTCGTGTTAGGTGTAGATAGTGTTTTTTAAAACACAGTTTGAGCTTTGCAGAGAGCTTTTGGATAACCTGGTGTCTGTAGATGTACCGTTATATGAACGGATTTGATGAAGTCGGATACGCGCGGGCTTCGACAAAACATTTCCGAAATATTACATCAGTGTCGAGTTTGTCAGTAGATTCCTACTACCTTATCAGATATTTTGTATCGGTGTAAACGTATTTTTTTGTCGGCTGTTTTGGGAACTCCCACCTCCTCTCACCCATGCGTTACATGCGGCTGATGGTCGGAATGGGTCATGCTGGCAGCGATGCGCAGCAATAAGCGGGTCTGTCCGTTCACCGTGAACGTGCCGTACCAACTGCTGGAGATCATCTCTGACTCCAAGCACCTGGAGACGCTCGGCTTCCACCTGCCGGAGCTGGCACGTAACGTAGCCCTGCAGGAGGACCGCTATCGCAAGCACAGCATCAACCTCAGCGCCATGATAGACCGCTACAACAAAGTGCTGGCGCAGATGACCGAGCCAGAGGCAAGTGTTAAGTCGGCCTCGCTCGCTATGAGCTGGATATCGTTTTGCACGTTTGGCGCCAGATGGAACCTGTGTTTAGAAATGTTACGTGAGCGCTTGGCGTGGGGCTCATCCTGCGTCACAGTGACATTACATGTAATCGGGGTTCAAGTGGTCATGTCGCCCATTTTTATCCTAAAACGCCAGATCCCGTGCCGCAGCATACAGATGGAACCTAACCGAGAATATTTGCGCTGTGCAGTGTGTGTGTGTGTGTGCGTGCGTGCGTGCGTGCGTGCGTGCGTGCGTGCGTGCGTGCGTGCGTGCGTGCGTGCGTGCGTGTGTGCGTGTGTGCGTGTGTGCGTGTGTGCGTGTGTGCGTGTGTGTGTGTGTGTGTGTGTGTGTGTGTGTGTGTGTGTGTGTGTGTGTGTGTGTGTGTGTGTGTGTGTGTGTGTGTGTGTGTGTGTGTGTGTGTGTGTGTGTGTGTGTGAGGAGAACGGGCCGCGTGAGATACACTCTGGTTGCGAGTCGTTGCCCGTATGACCTGACACCGTCCTGTCGCCACCATCGTCAGATGGAGCTGCTGAAGGAGGATGTGAAGAGCGTGGAGCGCGTGCTGCGGCCGGCCACCAAGCGAATCAACTGGAGCGCACTCAGCGTCGGCGACTTCTGCAACAAGTGCAACGGCGCCATCGGCGTCTTCGAGTCGCTCGTCCATCAAGTGTGTGCGAGGGCGGGCGTGCTGGGCGCGGCTTAGAACCCCTACGGGTGTTAAGCCGTCATCGCCAGATAGACTTAGACATGGACATGGACGTGTATTTGGACTTCATGATAGACTGGTGTCTATTCAAAGCCATCGTCACGCTTACACGCACGCTCGCACGCACGCACGCTCGTACGCACGTACGATACGCACACGCACACGCACGCACGCGCTCACGCACACTCACACGCACACGCACACGCACACGCACACGCACGCACGCACGCAGAGATGCTGTTGCGCAAGTGCGCAAGACTTGAACCATTCCGTGGTCAGGGCAGCGTTTGGCTCAGCAAGCGACGATTACAGTGCACGACTAGACCTCGCCGTAGGATGCTGTGTCAGGTCAAGGGAAAGGGATTTATACTGGGAGGCAGCGGAGAGCACAAACACCCCCATCTCGTTCTGTGACCTAGGATTGAGCGGACCTCCATGCTTCCGTGTGCGACGATCTTGGGTCTGAGAAAGCACCCAGATTTCATGGACTAGCGCTTCTGGTTTACCAAAACGAAGCATCTTGTTGACAAGCTTCAAAGTGTGGAATTTGACCAGGCTTTCCGCCGAAAGCCAGCCGAGCTTCTCCAGCTGGTCCGAGACGTGATGGAACTTTTTTTCCTCCAAACATCAGTTTTGCCACAAAACTGACTTTTGACTTTTGACTTTTGGATCATAACCATATGTCTTTCATGCCATTTTTGTAGACTGGGAAACGGTATCAGAACTGCGAGAGGACCAAGGTGCTCACTAGCGTAGAGACGGCGCTATAGGGCAAATACTTCCTCAGATGTGATGGACCAGAAAGGATACCGAAACAGCAGCAAGCGGCGAGAGTGACGTATAGATTACAGCCGAGATCAATCAAAGACTAGCCCTGCATTTTTCTATTCCGAACCGGGGGAAATGTTGTGCTCACGAAAGCTCAAGGCACAGCTCGCGGGCTGCGCATTTTATAGGCTTCCGAAAAAAAATGTTGAGTCGTCTCAGCATTTACTTTAGTCCGTCATCGCGAAGCCAGGTGTCGGGAAGGCTGACACACGTTCCATTTCAATGATGAAGTTTTGATCTTTTAGCCGCTCGATAGACTTTGGGTGTGGTCCGCATGCTGGGCAGTGGCTGCACCAGCTGTGACCAGACTGAGATTGCTTCCAAAGATTGAGCAGAGTGAGGAACCAATTGCCGAAACCCGAAACTCCCATGCTGTGAGGCAGCCTAGCAGAGCATTTGCTGTTCCGGAACTGGTTAGATACTCTCGCACTCTGAGTGTGGTTTTTGAGGTAAGCCGAAAACCCTCACGTATCAATGTTTTTCAGGCCAGGTTAAGTCAACCATTCTTAATGGCGTACCACATGGTGGAAGCATCCTAGTCAGAGCCGGACGGTGGCATGTCGTCATGGTGACACATGGTGATGAACAGATGTGAAATGATAGACATTTTAAATGGTACATTGTCATGCTCCTGCCCCGAAGTTTCGAATCAGAGCGTTTTATCGAATTGGGGTGAATTGAGTGCGCTATCTTTCCACAGTCAAGGGGCTTGGTTAATATTAGAACACGCCGGTTTAGATATGCAACTTTCTAGCAGGCTGTGAATGAATCATCTTCGGCCTTGTCCGAAAGTGATGCAAAAACCGTCGTATGCTTCCAAGCATACACCGGTTGCCTAAATGTTTCATTCTGGGCCGGTCCCTAGTCCCTGACCGTGTCATACATGGTGCAGTGTAGCAAATGAGTCGCTACATCATGCGGGTTGAATTTCTTTCAGGTTCAAAAGAATGCCAGAGATATGGAACGCCAGATATCCAGTCTGAGCACTATAGACCTGTTTGCCGTCCCGCACTCTGACGAGCTGGTCCACTGCAAGGTATTTTTTCAAAGTTATCAGTCATATGACGCATGTTGTTTCCACCTGTTCGTACCTGAACTGTACGCAGATGTTTGTTAAGCACATTTGCTTTCATATAGATTCACTGCCATTTGGTATTGTTCGCATGCAAGCATCAGCCAAACCGACGGCAGGAACTACTAGCGCACTAGCGGCCGACTCGTTGCGAGTGGACGAGCAATGACGCAGTCACCATCCGTTGGCTTCGGCGATTGGCGGCCGCGGCGTGTCTGACCGAGCCACGCCGGCCTGGCGGCCACCAGGAGTACTTCAGCGGCGTGGAGGGGCGGCGAGCCCACGAGATGGAGAGGCTGACCAGGAAGTACCAGAGCATCGGTCCGCAGCTGGTCAAGGTCGAGGGCCTGGTGGTGCACACCAACACCGGCCGTAACCCTCGGCTCTACAAGTACTACACGCACTGGGAGAAACAGTGCTTCACGGCCTGCACCGAGTAAGCGCCTGTCTGCTCACCGGCACACACTGATGACTTTGCTCGGGGCGCCTGTCTAGCTCATCGGCACACACTGATGACTGCTCGGGCGCCTGTCTGCTCACCGGCACACAATGGCGACTGCTCGGGCGCCTGTCTGGCTCATCGGCACACACTGGTGACTGCTCGGGCGCCTGTCTGCTCACCGGCACACATTGGTGACTTTACTCGGGGCGCGTGTCTTAATTCTGGATATGCACGAAGCCCCCATATTTTGGGGCAGGCCATTTTAAGATTGAGTCTGTGATTCAGTAAAAAATGAGTTCACAGTTCAAAGTGCAAAGCCTTGATCAGCTTTGAGCTTGTGTTTAAGAAGTGGCTTTGGAGATAAACATCCGACGTTTCACGCTAATTTTCGTCAGTCTTCCGACGAGCTCCGTTTACATGCTGTGCATGGATGAATTCAAAAGTGTATTGAATCCATACACACTAGCGTGCCTCCATGATATGTATTTATGTCGGTTGTACCTTATATGGATCGTGGGCTTTGCAAGTTCCTAACCGCTTGTCTCGTGTTTTCATCAGTCTAATACTGTGGAACCTGCGCGAGTTTCTATCGCGTCTGAACGGCTCGAAGTCGCTGTTCTCGGTTAGCATGCTTCTGGCTACCCCGGACGTGGTGGTCAGCCCGCTGGCCAACGACATCTACAAGATGATCATGAACAGCGTTCGCGACTGTATCGAGTGGTGAGCTGAGACCGCCAGCGGAGCCTCGTTTTTCGCTTTGGTGGTGTGACCTTTTTTGTTTGATTGTTTGCCTTTACCGCCGTTCGCCGTTTGCAACGTTTGCCTGAAGCCCTCAAAGCGTTTCCTTCGGGCGCGGACGCACGGCGGTCCTGCCGAGCATCGCTAAAAGGTCAGCAGTGTCAACGCACTTGATGGTCAAGCTCCATGTCTGCCGTGCAAAAGAAATAAAGCGCGAGCGTAATTTTTGCCATTTTGGCGTTTCGCACTTTGGGATTTGTAATAGCAATTCGCATCATGCCGAAAATATAATTGAAGTGGCCCCAATCGCCAGCAATTTTGGATTTTCTTTTTAAAAAGCGCAAGTGCAGAACAGGTTTAATCTTCAACGTAAAAAAGTGCTGCGAACTACGGCAAAAAAAAAACGCGCAAGTTCATCTTTCCATTTGTTCATTCAATTAGTAAAAGCACATGTGCGCACCTGTGCTCTTTTTCTTGACGCCGTCCAGCCACAGCCTTCCGCTTCCTACCCGCCATTTGGTTACACCAGAGAGCTCGCTGCCGCCCAGCCACAGCCTCCCGCTTCTCCACTGTCTGGCACTGCCAGATGGCGGAGAATCGGGAAGAAGCCGAAAGAGCTCGCTGACGTCCGACCACAGCCTCCCATTTCTTCGTCGCCATCCAGTCTTGCCAGAGCTCGCTGCCGTCAAGGCACACCCTCCCATTTCTCCGTCGCCATCCAGTCTTGCCAGAGCTCGCTGCCGTCAAGGCACAGCCTCGCACTTCCCCGCTGCCACCCGGCACTACCGGAGAGTTCGCCGCCGTCCAGCCACAACGTCCCACGCCCCTGATCTGTTCAGGGCAGGTGGGGAGGTTGTTGTCCACGATTCTCCAAAAGGAAGTGGAAACGTCGCCTTCTCTGAAGTCGGATCAAATCCCTGAGTCTGCTCTCTGCACGACATATGTCTGTTGCTGTAGTTCACCAAACCTCAACCAATCTACGACAAAAATTAGTGTGTTTTAGTTGCTGCTTCGAGTGACGAGTTTCATGAGTGTTTGCCTTTGCCCCACCTGCTTGAAATACACTTGTGCTTTTCTGATAGCACCTATTGTATTGCGCTTTTCTTATTTTGCGGAAGTCACGTTTGTTGCTACAAAGGTCAAAATGTAAATACTCTTCCTGAATTTTTGTGAATTTATATGTTGATGTGAGTGAGACAGCGTATAGAGTGATTGATTTCAATGTGAAAAATTGATTGGTCTATAATTCAAGTATGTGCCACCAACCAGTAGCGTGATATAGCAAGAAATCGAAAAAGCCCCCCCCCCATGAAAAGTTGCTAAAATGCACATGCGCTCTTTTTTGTTGCACGACAGATTTTGTGGATATTCTGATAATGTCGGTGAATGAATGTTGAGCCCGCGCTCTAAATGTGTGTGCGCAAGGAATAACTCGGCACACCGCAACTCAGCGGAACCGCCTCAGAACCACATGGGTGTTTATATGCGGGGTTTGAGCGTTTGGGACATTGCAGGAGATGCACTGCAGTCTTGTGAAGCCAAACTGCAGTGAGCTCTGGGTCTGTACAGCTCGGGGTTTCAAATACCAGTTTTTAAGGGGTTTACACATGCTCTGCCAACTATGAGCGGACTTGGCGTTCGTGTTCGTAATGGCGGACTCGGTGTGTTTCAGCTCCAAACACTTCGTGCGTTGGCAGCGAGGCTCTTGCCTGGAGTGCCCCTCTATTAAGATGGGAGACAACTCAAACGACACCTTCGTGTACAGCTTCTTCCAAGACATCAGCTGTGACCCGCGGGTCATCGATGTGGTGCTGGAGATACAGAACACCGTTCAAAACCTGCTCTCCCGAGTGCAGAAGAGCATTCAGCTGTAAGTCGACTGGTCATGAGGAAACATCAATCTCGAGCCAGGTCGCGCAATGCTTCGTGGGCCGGCAAATGCATGTGACGGATAGCTGACGTGATTTTACACAGCGCTGTCTTCGCTCCTTCACCAACGTATGCTCAGAGGAAGTCGCTGTCGTGTACTGCACTCGGTGGTAAGCTGTCGAACTCTTCAGATGGCGCCGGTACCGCAACCTGTGGAAGTATGAAAAGCAGCCTACCTGCGAGAAGTTCGTGGCGCGCCAGCCTTCACTTGTAGCGTGGGACGACAAGTTCCTCTTCTACAAACGCATCATGGAGGACGTCAACACGACGTCTTTGCAGGTCGACGCTCAGAGCATCAAGTAAGTGTATCTTTTCGTTCCTCCCCCCCCCCCCCATTTGCAGGTCGATGCCCAGAGTATCAAGTGAGTGCATCTTCTCGCCTCTCCCCCCCCCCCCCCATTTGCTCCAAATCGAGCGACGCAGCACAGGCACTTTAGCCAGTGCCGCGCCCTGCAGAGCGGTCTATAGCTGCCCCTCCCGCCGAGGGTCAGTACCGCGTGCTCGTTCCCAGACTGCGTGTAGACGACCTGGCGGCGGCTGTGAAGGGCCATGTCCAGGGCTGGATCGACACGCTAGGAGCGCTCCTCAACGGCATCGCCAAGCAGAAGCTAGACGATCTCTGCGAACTGTTTGAGGTAGGTGCACAGTCTCAGCATTTGCCAAACTGCCGAGAAAGCACAGCTAGTTTCTGGCCATGTTCTGCTCACGCCAAGAAAGTTTAAATTTGCGGAACTAGTCCAAATGAAATGTAGCAACCAATTTCAAAGTTGACCATTGAGTTGTGCTAAATATGTTACGGAGTGTATCACAATAAAAATCACGCCTGCTGCCCTGACGAAGGAGCGTCGCATCAGCCGTTTTCATGATTTACTACGTTGGGGCATTGTATTGCACACTTCGATGCCTGTGTATTGAAAACAATCTTCTACGTTAATACAATTTAAAGGTATCTTTCAACGTGGAAAAATATGTCGCTCATGATGCTTTTTAAAGTAAAAATGCCACAGATAATTTGTCATTTTTGGATGCCCATTATGTCTCCTATGCAATACGTACACAAGGCACAATATGAATACACTGGTTGTACCTGCTCCTTGCTATTGATTATTGTTTACCTTCTGGCTTACGGTGTGTGGCCAAGGACTGTACCGTTTGGTATCAAGTCAAAATATTCGGTGCGATGTATGATTAAAAAGCTCGTTTCCATGTAAATGGGTGCGAGTGCGTCGGGAGTGCGTGTCTGAGGGCACAAGAAGCTCTAGAAAGCTTGTCGTTGGCTATCACACCTTCACCGTGACAGCCAACGACTGTTGCTGAGACACGCAAGGTAGCGGCACTATCCTGCCTTTCGCGGCGATACGCCACCCTCGCATTCAGAGAGCACAGCATGGATGCAATCAGCGTTCTTATGAGCGCTGCTCCTGGACTGCCCCGCCGCCCGCAGGACAAGCACTACGACCTGAGCCGACGGCCGGCCACCCAGGACGACATCAAGTTTCTGCTGGCCACCATCTCGGACGTTCAGGAGATGTCGCTGGACGTGGAGCTGAAGATGGTGGAGATCCGAGAGCAGTACCGCATGCTGAGTGTGCACGGCATCGAGGTGAGCAGAGCAGGGCGAGCGCGCGCTCCGGCGGCGCGGAGGGCGGCGAGACGCCGGCCGGGGGCGCCACTGGATCGGGGGAACTGGTCAGCCGTTGGTGGTGGTGTACTTCTTGTACGGCGTCGTGTGCACCTATTGCGCATTGGTGAGACCAAAATGTGCATCGGAACGAGCAAATGTACTGTGTCTGCACGTGAGCATGCCTGCCTCGTAGTGATTGGTTGCAGTTAATATCGCCAGACGGAACAAAGTTGTAGGGATGCAGCTACCGTAAGCATGAGGGATGCTGTTTTGTCGTGTTCATTTGTAATACTTTTTACACATTGAAGCATTGGCTCGTCCCCCAGGTACCTGAAACACAAAAAGAGACCAACGCCAGCATCGGGAGACTGTGGGAGGAGCTGCTTCTCCGAGCGAAGGTCACCAACGCCCGTCTGGGACCTGTGAAGCAGAGGTGAGTCGCTCACAGTCGGGGAAGCGCTGCGCGTTGACTGCAGCCTGCACTGGTCCTGAATTGCCATTTCTGAGTTGGTGCGGCGAAGCACACATTCTGATCATGTCCTCCGATGAGTGGCTCGCGCACAGTTTAGCTAACGCGTGTTCACAAAGACTGTTTTGAGCAGGTTTACGGCGATCACGCAAGACGAGGTGGCTGAGTTCCACGGCGAGATTGCCAAGTTCTGTGAGCGCTACTACCAGGAAGGCCCAGGCACCGTGGGCGACCAGTTCGACCTGGGAGAGCACAAGATGAAGGTAACCGCACGTTGCTGAGTGGCTGGAACCGCGCTACGTTTCGTTATCCAGCGTTCGAAACCGAAGTTCGCGCTTCCGCTATTCCGTCGTGTTTTTCCATGCCTGGAAGCCTGGTAGGTCCAGGTGCTTATTGTGGATTTTCACGCCGCCTGTGTCAAGTGCTTGTAATGCATGCTTCTTGCAATTAGCACACAGGGCGCTATGATTTACGATGCACGATGACAGGGGCGCGGTGAGGTGATCACATAGTCTGACTCCGTACATGGTGCAGTCCAGCTGTGTTTCCAAACTATCTGATGTCATCAGGCATGTGGACGAATGAGACAGCGTGTGGAGAAGTAAGCATTGCTGACACTAATATGCACGTGACACTAATATGAATAGTGGTAACAAATGTTGGTGCGTTCTGTTTCGTGTATGGCACTAGGTGATCGACATCCACTCTCTGTGATTGCCCTGAGGCCCTGCCAGTTGGAACACGACCTCTGACCACGCATGTGCTGCCCCAGAGTTACGAGGATGAGCCCTGAGGTCCTGCCAGTTGGAATACGACCTCTGACCACGCATGTGCTGCCCCAGAGTTACGGGGATGAGCCCCGAGGCCCTGCCAGCTGGAATACGACCTCTGACCGCGCATGTGCTGCCCCAGAGTTACGAGGATGAGCTGGCTTCGCTCCTGGAGCGGCAGCAGGAGCTAGTCAACTCGGAACGGCTGTTCGATCTGGACATCACCGCTTACCCCGAGCTGACCACGATGCAGAAGGACATGGCCGGCCTCCGGCTCATCTACGATATATACGTGGCGCAAAAGGTAATAATTGCGCGGTGCGAGGTTCACACGTCCTGTTTTCGGCGCACGTCTGGGCTTTGTTGCGACGATGGCTGCCTAAGTTCTTTTGAAAATGGCACCTATGGCACGATCATCGAAAGAACGACCACCTTTTCTATAACTTTAGCGGCGAGTCTCTGTTCCCCGTCGGTTGTGACCACGTAGCCGTGATCGCGCGTGGGGGCTTCATATGGTGTACTATGACCACTGCCCCTGACTCCAGCTTGTTCTTTGACATTTCCAGGAGGCGCGTGAAAAGCTGGCCCAGACCCTGTGGGCAAACCTCAACTCCCAGGCTTTGACGGACGACATCGAGGTGTACATCAGGCAGTTCAAGAAGCTGCCGCGGGACGTCCGGCAGCTGGACATCGGCAAGCACCTGGAGGAGAACATGAAGCAGTTCAAAGCGTCCGTACCGCTCTTTGTGGACCTGAAAAACGAGGCCATCAGGGAGAGACACTGGCGCGAGCTGATGAAGAAAACAGGTCAGAGATAATTTCGTCACATTGCACATTGGCAACATTGGTCCACGTCACTTTAACAGTCACTGGAGTGCATGGTGGCAACGTTACATGGAAGTATACAGCTCCCATGCAATATGGCGGCAACACAGCTCTCACGGAGTTTAGGTGGCACCCGGAAGCCCACTTTATGTTGTTTTGCTGATAGTGATGCTACTGCTGACTAGTTTTACGGCCTCTGGACAGCAGGCTATTCCGCTATTACAACGCTGCCTTGACTGTATTTGACACAAAAATTTCAGTTTAGTTATCAAAAGCTTGAAGCTTACGTCTCTCGCTTGTCGGCTAGTTGCGACGCATCTTTTGTATTTTGTGCGTTGGGCCGGATCATGACAGGGAAGCTTGATCCCTGAACGCTGTTCACAGCTGCTGTGTGTCTGTGCTTGATGCCACTACACCGAAAGGAAAGTAAAATGTTGATGTGTCTCCTTACAGGCAAAGAATTCGAAATGGACCCGGAGACGTTTACCCTGGCCAATCTGTTCGCCATGGAACTGAGTAACTACAGTGACGTCATCGCTGAAATAGTGGGCGGCGCCATCAAGGAACTGGGCATCGAGAAAGGAGTCAAAGACATCGCAGATGTAAGGGGAAGCAGTGGATTTTAAGCGCTGACGTGCACATACATTGGTTCCGCTTCTGTCCGTGCTGTTCAAAGGCGACCGTCTGGCGCCTGGCGTCCTGCCTGGTTCAGCTGAACTACGTCATCAAAACAAATCAGCGATGGGCCCCGTATGAGATGTACGGCAGTAGTTTTTTTGTTCATTGCGTTGCTTGAAATCCAGAAGCGCGTTCCCCGCCGTAGCAATACGTTGATCCCATGCCAGGGACGCAGCCTGGATATTGGTAAAGGGGTTGGGGGCTCGCGGTTGACAAAAGGTGCCCTGCCATTGAAAGTTCTCCCCCCCCCCCCCCAGTATAAAATCACCGGACATGGCCCACTAATTTAGAGGGGCACGATCTTCTGTATCTTGTTGGGATATTTACCGTCTTTAATTAAACAGAAGCAAGATGACACCGCACCACACCATTCCGTTTGTATTTTGAAGTCAGTGAACTGGAGGAACCAGGCGATAAACGACTTCACGGAATATGCCGTCGGTGCTATTTATTTTATGGTGGCTCATTGGACGTTTTCTAAACCGAACGCTCTCAGGGTACTTGCCTGAATTTTTTGGATTGCACAGAGGTATTGAGACCTCCGTGAACGTAGATTGCAGATCGAATGCTGCCATAAATTTGTATTGACACGGCCAACCCATGGTCGTCTGGGAATGTTCAGTCTTCGTTCAGATTCAAGAAGTGGAAACAAATTGTCATGTGCGCGCTCGCAAGTCTTCCAAACAAAAACCCCAGTGCCCGACGTTATCCGTAGGCTGGCTCTAATGCGGCAGCCCCTCGGCTAACACTAGGTGGTGGCTAGCAGGTGGACGAAACACTGACGTTTCTGACATCGAACGCTTTGGGAGATGAATTCCTTTGTTTAGAGGGTAGACGGGAAGCATGTTTTAGGGGTGCTATTCGTAGATTTATGCTCAGAACGGATTGGCATTTACAGCACCGCGACCCGGTGCTGGAACATGATGGTGGAACTGGACCAGTAAGAGCAGAATATATCTGTCTACCTACCTATCTATCTATCTATCTATTTATTTACATATATACACACACACACACACACACACACACACACACACACACACACACACACACACACACACACACACACACACACACACACACACACACACACACACACACACACACACACACACACACACACACACACACACACACACACACACACACACACACACACGCACGCACGCACGCACGCACGTACGCACGCACGCACGCACGCACGCACGCACGCACGCACGCACGCACGCACACACACACACACACACACACACACACACACACATATATATATATACATATATATATATATATATATATATATATATATATATATATATATATATATTTCCCACCTTTGGCCTAATTTCGATCCGCCGTATTGAGCACTAGGGAAGCCCCTTACTTTTCCGTCCAAGACGCAGGGGATAGAGCAGTGAAGGCACCTTATCTTTCCCGGTCATGGATGAATGACTATTTCGTTCCAGCGGGGTTGCCTACCGGCTGCTGTAGCGGGATACCCTGGTCGAGGTGGAGGCTCTTAGAGGGATGAATAACACATTGGTCTTTTTCTTGGCGCGGAAAGTCCCCTTACCAGGGCAGTTGGCCCCGGATCGACGTGGGGGGCCCACAAAAAGATCTCCTATCCCCGGCCCAATAATTTCTACCGAGACTCCAATTCGCCCTAAGGAGCCCCGGGCTGAAATGATGTGGAGCCCCAACCCCATTCCCTGTTTGTTACTACAGCCCCTGGCTGACACAGAGCTTAACTCCATTATCTCATTGTGAACTCCCACTGTAAGTTCTCACATTTCCTCTCATTGTCAGAGGGCCCCGGCCGACGCAAGTGGGCCTCTGGCACTCAAGGTCACGTCCCCGTCCTTGTTCAGCAAGTTTTCCCAAGAGGCTCCCGACATTGTGTCAGGAGACTCCCAATCAGGGCAAGAGGCCCGTTGACTTACACTTGATCGCCTGTACCTGCGGTCCGGGCTCCTTAATGTCACCTACAGCCAGCCCTTCGAGCCCTCAGATCAGGTCTTTGATCGTCGGCTCTGAGGGGCTCAAGGGACCAAGGGGGGGGGGCACATGTCCCTGCGCCCCCCCCTCCCCTACCTGCGCCACTGATCCATGCCGACGTCCTTTCCGTGCACAATGTTTCCCAGATAGGTGTAATACATCCCAATCTCCTCTGCCACAGTACCGTTATTGCCCACATCCTCTGGACATGAGCGGTGAGTGGGTCGGTGCCGGTTATCTGGTGGGCGGCGGCGGCCGCTGTGCGCGCTGACCCGCCTCTCCATCCCGTCCGCTGGCCCGTCCGTCCGCTCCGTCCACTGGCCCGCCTGTCCGCCCCGTACGCTGACCCGCCTGTCCACCCCGTCTGCTGACCCGCCTGTTCGCCCCGTCCGCTGACCCGCCTCTCCACACCGTCCGCTGACGCGCCTATTCGTTGATCCAACCATCCGCTGACCCGCCTCTCCACACCGTCCGCTGACCCGCCTCTCCGCACCGTCTGCTGACGCGCCTGTTCGCTGATCCAACCATCCGCTGACCCGCCTATTCGCCTCGTCCACTGACCCGCCCGTTCGCATCGTCTACTGACTCGCCCGTTCGCATCGTCTACTGACTCGCCCGTCCGCACCGTTCGCTGACCTGCTCGTCCACCCCGTTCGCTCCGTTCGCTGGTCCGCCTGTCCACCCCTTCCGCTGACACGCCCGTCCACCCCGTCCGCTGACCCGCCCGTCCACCCCGTCCGCTGACCCGCCTGTCCGCCTCGTCCGCCAGCTGTGGGACGGCATGCGGTTCGCGGTGCTGCCCTACACGAAGGACGGCGAGGAGCGTGGCTTTGTGCTGACCGCCGTGGACGAAGTGCTGCTGGCGCTGGACGACAGCACCATGAACCTGCAGAGCATGAGCGGCTCCAGGTGAGGCGCTGGGCATGGGAGGGGTGGGGTGGGGGGGGGGGGGGGCGGAGGGACGAGGTGCCGCTGGCGCTGGACGATAGCACCACGAACCTGCAGAGCATAGGCGACTCCAGGTGAGGCGCAGCGCAGGGAGGTGGGGGGGGGGGGGGGGGGGGAGCGAGGGACATCAACGAGGCACTACGTGCGCTGGACGACAGCACCACTCATTTGTCGAGCATGAGCGACTCCGGGAGGTGATGCGGCGCAGGCAGGTGGTGGCGTCTGGGGACCTAGGGCCCCAGCCTGAAGCCGTACCGTGGCTGGCCTGGGAAAAGCTGCCACTGTGGGTTACTGGTCGTCGTGGGAGGGAGGGGGGGGGGGGGGGGGGGACACGCTGGACTGTACTGTGGCTGCGCCATTGACACCCGAATGACTGGCAGCACTAGGGTTTGGAAACGTGGGCCGGAAATATCTAACAAAATAAATGAATAAATAAGCTAAAAATGAAGAAAAAGGGGACTACCGGACTTGCATCCAAGAGCTGGAGGATTTGGGCCACGTTGCCGCTTCGGTTGACTGTTGAGTTGGCCACAGTGTTTTCCTTGCCTGCACTTGTGAGTATAGAGCATCATACATCATGACAGCGATGGTATACATCATCATGCACCATGACCACCTTCCCTTGACAGCTCGTATAGACGTGCCTAAGGCTTTGCAGTCGTAACTAAGCCAAACAAACAGAAAGCAGATTGAATATTGATATCATAAAATTGTTGAAACGCTCTGTCAGTCACTTTGTTTGGCTTTCGTTTGCGGTTGGCATGCGCAGCATTTAACGACGTTGTCGTGCTTCCTTTAAAGGCGTTGTCACATTTGGTTATCATGTTAGTTTAACACACTGCACGTTCGTTCCAGATTCGTGGGGCCGTTCCTGCCTCAGATACAGTCGTGGGAGAAGACACTGTCGGTGATTGCCGAGGTGCTGGAGATATGGCTGGTTGTGCAGCGCAAATGGATCTACCTTGAGGCCATCTACCTGTCCCCCGATATCAGGTCTCAGTTGCCGGAAGAGGCGCGCAAGTTCGACGCCATCAACAGCATGTACAAGAAGGTGCGTTGGCGGTGATGTTACACCTCGCTGGTTATCTTTGGTGGAGCATACGCCACTGCGGCTTCAATGCTTCGTCCTCGAATATACAGCGTAATGGAATGCATACAGTTCGCATACAGCTGACTCATCCAGGTACCTATGCAACACAGTATGCGTACTTTTGCATGAGCCTTCTCCTAGTCATGACGCGCCATCTGTTATGGTAACACGATTGCAGGCTTCGGAATGTTTTGCTGTGTTCTGCTACCGCTGGCACGAGGTGCAGTGACCGTGTCAAGTTGACCGGGCTGAACAGTGTCGTCTTTGTTTGTCGTGCTACACAGCGTTATGGCGACTGCAGTCTTAGTCCTACACATGCCTGCACTTTACTGCATCATGTGCCTGAGACAACCAGGGGGGCCATGACCGAGTGGTTAGCACCTATGGCTGTCACCTGCATTGTTCGGGGTTGAGGCTTGAAGCACTATCGACACGTTATTGCCACAGAGCGCTGGTTTTGCCTCTACAGTCCTCACGCTCCCTACAAAGGTTCACAGCTACGTGCATCGCGCTTTCTTTAAGCAAAAACAAACTAGGAGAGCTGCACCAGCACCTTGTTGTTTTGTGACTGTTTTGTGAAGTGATTTTTTCATGTCTTGATTTTATGCCGATCTGGGTGTACTTCTATACGGTGTGCTTGTTGACTTCAAAATGCGGTTCCACGTTCGCTACAATGGGACCCTGTGTACTGAAAAAAAATAATTATTTAACTGTGTTTGCGAGTACGCGGGTTTGAGACCTTCCATCGGCTTTGTTCTGGGTCTCTGGTGTAATGAGATGTAATATGGTGATACTGATGTGCTTTAAGATATTACAGAGATTGAAAACATCGCTGTTGCAGCGTCGAAGTGGGAGCATACGGGACCATCACAGACGCACCGCCGGCATACTAGCATTTTTGAGTGCCATCCCACGTATCACGCACATCTGATATGCTTATCGTTGTTCCATGCCTCCCTTCAGATAATGAACGAAACGCATCGTGTGCCGATGATAAAGGCGGCGTGCGTGGCTCCTAACCGCCTGCTAGACCTGGAGACGGTCTCCCTGGGCCTGGAGAAGTGCCAGAAGTCGCTCTCCGACTACCTGGACGCCAAGCGGAACGCCTTCCCGCGCTTCTTCTTCATCTCGGACGACGAGCTGCTCTCCATCCTGGGCAACAGTGATCCGCAGTGCATTCAGGAACACATAATCAAGGTAGTTTGCCCGGGTAAATTGCAACAGCCTTTTTCGTAAAAGTGACGCACGTGCACAAGAGGGATAAAGGCTGCTGGCATAGGCATGTAGGGTAAACAATGCGATAATTTTTGGTGCGTTCAACTTTGGGTTTCTTTGTAATGTTCAAACTTTCAAAGCCGGCAGTTTTTTTTACCTTGATCTCGCCTTCATACGTTTTCCGAAGCGAGCGGAATTAGCCAAATGTTATTTTATTGGTATTTCCGTCCAATCATCTATCTAAAAACTATCTAAAAAACTATCTCTTAGTTGAATGACCTTGTTTAACAATTCGTTGTCGCATCCGCTTGAATGATTCCCTTTGCGTTGCCTTCGCTAACAGTCATGGCCTGATTTTGACTTGTCATAGATGAGCGACCTTAAGAGGTATGTCTAACGTTCAACGGTCTAACGTTTCTTTCATTGTTACATCGGACGCGTATGATTCGATCAGTTATGCCAGCTTCCTCGAAATACTTCTGAACAGCTCGGGATTTCGATTTCAAGTGGGCAATCATGCGAGAAAAATCTCATTTGACTCCCCGCTCACCAACAGAAATACATTTCACTTGCTTTGCTTTCTACAGCGTGTGTGTTTTGTAATGCTTGTAACACATTAGTGTGTCAAAATGTTGGTGCAGCAAGTGCTGCATAGGGGTGAAACACTATTTAGATAGTAATATATGCGAACATGAAGCCATTATCCCACGAATTCAACGAAACGTTACACTATATCTTTGATTTCTCGCTTACAGCGTTCACCACAGTTGCTCTTTCCGAGGCGCACATTGGCCTTGGGAATGGGAGTAACACATGATTTGTGCAGCGCACTGGTTCAAACTTCAGCCGATGCTGTTATTGGTCACAGGCTCTTGCCCGCTGGCCATTCACAAACGCTCTTTAAATTCGCACCAGCGAGGGTGCGTACGGTGGTTGTTGTGCCAACGGTGGTCGCGACCGCATGGAAGAAGTGTAGTGATATTGGAAAGCATTGACAGCGTAACTTGGATGCGAAAATGATTAAAAATCGACGTCCTTATATGCCTTGACGATGCTGCAGTAGCACTACCCAGTGCTCCTACTAGACGTAACTAGTCTTGAGGTTTTACTAGAGTATGTTTTTGAAATATGCCCAAAAGGTGGGGCACTCCCTTAAATGCCAAACGATTGTCTTTTCCACCGTGCGCAGACATGCCAAGTTTGGCGTGGCTATGCGGTACTGTTTGTGAGTTTTTCTAAAAAACCTGGAGGGGGCGGGCGAGGGGCGTTTCAAATTGGCCCTTCACCATATCGCGTGTTATACCAGGCTTGGATGTCGACAGATCGTATGGCTCCGTGCTGTCGAATGCATGACTCGTACATCACCGAGCCGTTGGTGCGGCATCCGCCTGGGGTGGCGTTTGAGCGTGTCTTTTCCTCGTGCAGATGTTTGACAACATCTTATCTCTACGGATGGTGCGCAACGCCGACGATGACCTGGTCGCATCCGCAATGCATTCCGCAGAGCAGGAAATCATGGAGTTCAGGGAAGCTCAGGTAGTGCGCGAGTTGTGCATGTGTACGCCAATTTATCGGTCGGTCATCGCCCAGACAAGACACATTGATTTGTCGCTTGCCTGGTACTGTTGTAGTTGAGGTGTGATTTAAAACGTGACAGTTGGTTACCTCCCTGCTGCGTAGGTATGGTTTGAATGTTGTGCAAGATGCGATATACGAAACAAAATGAGTGAAGGACTCGATGTGTTCAGTGAGTTTGGCCACAACTAGAGCATTTCACAAAATACGTGGCATAACATCTGCATTGCGTGTGTACCTAAGCGGCCGTCCACAAGTGAAACGTTCTGAAATAATGAGGCCCTTACGGAACTCGAAGCCCTTACGCCTGAGCCTTGCCGCCGCCCCGCTGTGCCCCGCTAGCCCGCGGCACGTGACTGTATGGCTGGGACCGCACCCCGCAGGTGGTTGACGGCAGAGTGGAGGACTGGATGAACAGCGTGCTGGCGGAGATGTGGAGGACCAACAGGTTCCTCACCAAGAAGGCCATCTACGAGTACGCCAAGACAACAAAACCGAGGTGCGTGCAGGGCACCGTTGGAGGGATCGGGGTCCTCTTATCGTGTCGGCGAGTGGCGCTAACCACGCTACAGAGTGGGATCGATGTCCTGGCTAGCTGTAGCGGTCGGTACAGATACAACAGATGTTACGGATGCGAAAGGGTGTCGTGCGGCTGAGGGCCGACCTACGCTCACGGGCGGCAGTGTGCACCACTGCACAGAGAACACTGACGGCGATGCATTTCTGCGCTCCGGCAGAGCTCAGTGGATGCTGGACTACCAGGGCATGATCTGCCTGGCGGCTAACCAAGTATGGTGGACGGCAGAGGTGGAGGAAGTGTTCCGACTCGTGAAGAAGGTCAGTTTGCGTCTTTATGCCCTTCCATTTCGTTTCAGTTTTAGCTGCCGTTTCCACATTTTCCGTTTTGGTCTAAGTAGCTGTTCAAGCCAGACACCGCTTGGCTTATGCGTTATCGGTTTGTGGCGTCCTGAGCCACGGTTGGGGCGCTCTCGGGCGTACCGGACATATGAGGCCGATTTCGAGGCGTCCTGTCACGGGACTCATACAATTTTGGACTGGCTCAGAAGTCCCGACTTCGAATGCCGCACACTGGTTTAAACGTTCCACTGATCACGATCGCGGCAATCAGTATCAACAGTTGACACACAGGTGACCAAAGCAGTAGTTACACGAGTCGGTAAGTTGGTGAACAATGTTTGGATGACTTGCACGCGTAGTGGGAAGCGTCGGTGATTCTTACCGAGCCCACTTCAACCCCCAGGGAAACAAGCGCGCGATGAAGGAGTACCTGGCCACGCTGAACCAGCAGTTGGACGAGCTGGTGCTGATCGTGCGCACTGAACTCACCCCTAACGATCGCAAGAAGATCAACACCGTGCTTATCATAGACGTGCACGCCAGGTATGAGGCGGCTGTTAGTGTTCGGGTCGGAACCGACAATTTGTTTACGGAGCTTTCGAGTGTTGTATTTTTGCGTTTCATATACCATGCTCTGGTTTATGAAATGGATATTGAACGTTGATTTAGGAGTGATTCATCTTGTGATATTGTCAGGGTTGCCTTATAAGCAGACTGTCCAACTTGGTGAGGGAGGTCTTAACACTACCAATCCCTGCGATAATTGCGACTGCGGGAAAGGTTTCATTTCCGCCTTGGCGGCGTATCCACTTTCCGATGGTTTTTTCATGTACCCACATCAAGGTGCGCGACGTTATCGTGCTCCTAACGTGCTCCAAAGGCGTCATGACACAAACTCACCCAATGCACGCATGACACACGCCCGGTCCCGCTGGGGGCATCCCCAGCTGACAGCCACGAACTTCCGCATGTGTTCAGGGACATCATAGAGGCCTTTGTGAGAGACAGCATCCTGGACCAGACGGAGTTTGAGTGGGAGAGCCAGCTGCGCTTCTACTGGATGCGGGAGCCCGACAGCCTCATTGTCCATCAGTGTACCGGTAATGTGCCCAGATGGAGGCAGCTGTGTACAGGGCGTTCGTGGCGAGACGTGTGGACGGTGGAGAGTACTTGGTCGTGTGCTCGAGACCCATATATGGTCAAGATCTCCGTCCGGGTGCGTTAACTGTACTCGGTTAGACTATACTTTGCCTCGAAATGTCGCGCGTCAACATTTCAGGAGGATCTTTAGACCAAAACTGACACCGTGGCATGCCACTCCAAGCTCAAAGGAATATAACCTTAATTTTTACACAAACACAATCTTCCAATAAACATGATATGTGCTTGTCATGCTGCGCAAAACTGAACTATCAACTCCTGTGTATCAGAAAAATGGTACTGGAACAGCGCGCACATGGGGAGGTAATGTTACGCTGAAGTAGTTCTGCCGCGTCTTCCGTCGTTATGGTCTTTCCGTCCTGTTCTATAGTTTATAGTGTGTAGACTATCGCTATCACTAGCCCTGTTTACTGCTGGTCGTCTCCGCGGTGGTCAGCACACTGACGCGGCACCGTCGCGTGGGGTGGCAGGTCAGTTCAACTACGGCTACGAGTACATGGGCCTGAACGGGCGGCTGGTGATCACACCGCTGACGGACCGCATCTACCTGACCATCACGCAGGCCCTCTCCATGAACCTGGGCGGCGCGCCGGCAGGTGGGCACGCCTCAGGCGTCGGCCGGGCCGCCCGGCGCGTCACGGCGTCGGCAGCGCCGCTGCACCGCCACGGCGCTGTCACTGGAAGTCACTGATGAAGGGTTGATGCTCTCAGTCGAGGGGTGTGATCGGTGCGTTGGCCACTTTGAGAAGGTGTGCGGAGGAAATGCGTGCTGTTTGGAGAGTTTGCTGAGGTAGCTGCTGATGGCGATTACTTACAGCTGACTGGTCGTTGCAGGCCCGGCCGGCACAGGCAAGACGGAGACGACCAAGGATCTGGCCAAGGCGCTAGGTCTGCTCTGCGTGGTCACCAATTGCGGAGAGGGCATGGACTATAAAGCCGTCGGGAAGATCTTCTCCGGTAATGACTGATTGAGGCTACAGCGTACTGACTATTGATCATTTTCACCACGCATAGACGGTCGGAGAAAACGTGCTGAAATTTTACTTCCACGAACAACGTTCTGTGCCTACGTGTTACGTAGTCTACTTAGTCTCTAGTAGCCTACGTCACCTTTTGTGTGCATAAGAATTATGAAGGAGCCTTGTTAGGAAGGATGTTGACGATGGATGCGGTACAGTCGTTATGGCAGAGTTATGTTCCTCATCGCACCCTATGTGTCCAGATACAGTATGAATGAGAGGCAGTGAATAACACGGCTGCCCGGGTCAGGCCTGTGCCAGAGCGGAGCCTGGGGCTGCTTCGACGAGTTCAACCGCATCGAGATCTCCGTCATCTCCGTCATATCGACCCAGCTGCAGACCATCCGTAACGCTCTGGTCAAGAAGCTGGCCAAGTTTCACGTGAGTGGGCCCCTGCAGCAGTAAAGGACATGGGCAGCCTCAACGTCAGCCGGCTTCGCTGTATGGTCGGCACTGTCAGCCGGCGGCACCATATGCGTGATCACTTAACATCGCTGTGGCGCGGCGTGCCGCGGTGCGATATGACGTGAGCCCCAGCTGCAGTGACGTCCCGCGCGCTGGAGCCGGGAGGGATCTGGCGCCAAATTCCTGCATTCAGCAGCAGCTGATACTGACGTGGTGTTGCAGTTTGAGGGCCAGGAGATCGTGATGGACCCGAAGGTGGGCATGTTCATCACGATGAACCCCGGGTACGCCGGCCGCACGGAGCTCCCCGAGTCGGTGAAGGCGCTCTTCCGGCCGGTGGTGTGCATCGTGCCCGACCTGCAGATGATCTGCCTCATCATGCTGTTCTCGGAGGGATTCCTGCAGGCCAAGGTACCGTGTAGCCAGCCGACAGCCCACGGCTGGGTGCGACCGCCCGGTGGCGGCGGTGTATGCCATTTGAGAGAGGGATATGACAACTTCCGCCTTCTGGGCGGCTGCAAACAGGACAACGCAACGCTTCACGGCGCTGAATGTTTGCCGTTTCGATGCCTGCAATGATTGATTTGCGACCGCACTTGCAAAAAGGTAAACGCAATGCTTTAAGAAAAAATGCAAAGGGAAGGAGCGAATTTATTTAGACATTAAATAAAATCCTTCGACAGTCGACCATCACGCGTTTTTTTCTGGAAATGAAAGCTTTCCCGTGAAAATACTTGCGCTATTATAACAACCGTATGCGGTTTGCCCATTTCCAGACCCTGGCTAAGAAAATGACGGTGCTGTATAAGTTGTCTAAGGAGCAACTTTCCAAGCAGCACCACTACGACTTTGGTCTGCGAAACATCAAGGCGGTGCTGGTGCGGGCCGGAGAACTGAAGCGAATCACCCAGGACATGCCGGAGGACATGATACTGATGAAATCTCTCAAGTAAGGACGTAGGGAGACAGAATGGCGTTTTAAAATTGAGAGCTTTTTCAGGGTTGTCAAACCGGATGACATGATTTAATTCAACCTGGTAGCTGCTAGACCCAACTGCCCGGTGTTTGCTGTAGTCATCTTGTTCCATTAACTGTTGTTCCTCGCGAAAAATGGGCTTGAATTAGGGTACGTCCTAATGAAAGTTATGCTGATTATGCGTGCAACCCTGTATCCATCGTGACACGAGTTGCCCTTGTGATGACTGTAGCCGTTTCCGTGTGCCCTCAGAGACATGAATTTCGCCCGGTTTACGTACGAGGACGCGCCGCTGTTCCTGGGCCTGCTGAACGACCTGTTCCCGGGCGTCGAGTGTCCCCAGGAGACGGACGAGAAGCTGAGTGCGGCCGTCGACCAGGCCATCGTCGACAAAAACTACACCAACCTGCCCAAACAGGTGCCGATCGGGGCCGCGGAGGCCGCCCACAGACGTCCGGGCGGGCGGGCGGGCTGGGCTGTGAAAACGCTGGCCGACGTCGGCACGGAAGCTGGCTTCACATGCAGTGGCTCTGTTGCAATGCTGGGAAGCGCGCCTCACTGGCAGCAGACTGACGGCTTGTTCTACTCGCTGCGTGCCGGCAGACAGAGAAGGTGATCCAGATGTACGAGATCATGAAGACCCGCCACACCACCATGGTGATCGGCCCGACCGGCGGCGGCAAGTCCGTCATCATCAAGACCCTGCGCGACGCCCAGACTATCATGGGCTTCCCGACCAAGATCTACACCCTTAACGCCAAGGTGCGTTACGTTGTACGCACTTTTTCCCGAAAGTCACGCGTGTTGCTTAAAGTGTGTCTAATGGTCAGCACTGAACTCTGCCGGATGCACGCCCGAACGCGGTGTCTAGGAAACGGTGTGGCTGTGCAAAGCTTATACGGGGTCAGCAGCGAGGTGTCTGCGACTGCTCGAGTCGCGCACCCACTGTGACATCGCGTCTGCTTTGCACCGCAACGTTACGGTGTGTCTGGCTGGACCACGCGGCTGACTGGTCGGACAGCAGCCTGTAGTGGCTCTGAGCTGACGTGGTGCGCCGCCGGCAGGCCTGCTCCGTGCTCGAGCTGTACGGTGTGCTGGACCCGATCACGCGGGACTGGACCGACGGGCTGCTCTCGAACATCTTCAGGGAGATCAACAAACCCACCGAGAAGCCAGAGTTTCGGTCAGCCATTACCGATGACGTACATGCATGCGGTGAACTTGGCCGAAAGGTTTCGTAGGGTGACTTTGTTACCAGGACCTTTCACTCAATCGGTATCGAGTGACAGTTGCGTGTCACATATTTACGTTGTGCAATTTGTTAGCACGCACAAACTTATGGTCCTAAGGCACAAATCTAAGCTTAACAATACTTTAGCCAGTTCATATCAACGCGCGTCGTTTGAACAAATATTGTGGGCAAATGACACGCCGCTAACCATATTTGTTTAGTGACATACAGTTGGTCAGCTGCGTTGATACTAATGTACGGGTTCACTGACGCTACTATGCCTACTTCAACTCCACCCCAGTATACACCCTGGAATTTGTACTTAAATGCATCCCGGGAAATGTATACCCATATGCGTGCTTACAAATGACACAATTTTTGCGTATCTCCTTCGTATGATCTTGTATGCCGCTGTTGAAGTCTGCTCCCGGAATACCTAAATTTCCACTGCTACATTACCTCTCGTGTTTTACTTCATGAGCCTCTAGTGTTCAGTCCGTCCCACAAACCCATAGCCCAAGCCGTGGTGGCCCAGTCGGCCCTGGACAGGTGGTATGAAGTCGCCCGCCTCTGCCGCTCGGCGCCTCGGAGCTGCCGGCCTAGCGCGCCTCTGAACGCGGCCGAGCGCGCCTCTGACCACGGCCGAGTGCGCCTCTGACCACGGCCGAGCTCACCTCTGACCACAGCTGAGCGCGTCTCTGACCGCAACCGAGCGCGCCTCTGACCACGGCCGAGCTCACCTCTGACCACGGCCGAGTGCGTCTCTGACCGCAGCCGAACGCGCCTCTGACCGCGGCCGAGCGCACCTCTGACCACGACCGCCTGCGTGTCGCCGCCAGCTATGTGCTATTTGACGGTGACGTGGACGCGCTCTGGGTGGAGAACATGAACTCGGTGATGGACGACAACAAGCTGCTGACGCTGGCCAACGGCGAGCGGATCCGTCTGCAGAAACACTGCGCGCTGCTCTTCGAGGTCGGTCCTCAGCTGGGCCGGAGGAGCTAAAAAGCGCAACTGGGACGCTCGTGGCTGCGTGGGCATGCTTGTCTGGATCAACTGCGGTACATTAAGCTTATGGGTCAACTGTCGTTGCCCGGATGGTTGCAGTCTTCTGTAATCAGCATCGTACTAAAGAGCACGCCAGCAGTTGGCCTTGCTGTCATTATTACTGTAAACAGCCAGCTCGCTTGAGCCCTGTCGTTTCCAACCGTGAGAGATTTCTGTCGTGTAACATTCGTGGTGTGTTGTATTCGTATTGTGGTAATCGCGATGTTCCTCTATGATATACTCACGTGGTTATTTTATGGTCTCTTGTCCCTGGGAAGGCACACAGTGGGTAGTTCTGGTACAGCTCAGTCGTGGGCTTCGCTGCGGATCGTATCGGATGCCCTTTGATTGGGCTCTTCTTGGAGTAATAACGCACGTACTGATTCCAAACGTCCCTGTGTCCGGATCGATGAAGCCACATCCCGCAGACACATGCGACGGCCACCTGCTTCCACAGTCACGTGATGGCATGCTCTGTCTCCTATTTACTGCCATGCCATGTGTACGCTGGTGTTGATTGGTGCGTATGTTGTGCTCGGATGATGTGCAGTACAGCGCGCCAGCGTCGCGCGGTCGTCACTGCTAGCCTTGCGCTGACGGCGCGCCGCTGGACCGCCCGCTAGGTCGGAGACCTGCAGTACGCCTCGCCGGCCACCGTCTCTCGCTGCGGCATGGTGTATGTGGACCCGAAGGACCTTGGCTACAGGCCCTTCTGGGACCGCTGGACCGCCAGTGAGCAGTGCTGTGACCCTCGCAACGTGTCATAAGCAATGCATGACCCTTTTTATGTGGATGGGTTAGTTGTATGGCTTGCGTAGGAGATGGCTGGGACGTTTTCGCGTCAGGTGCTAAAATGTCAAAAAATAATGTTGTTTCGTTCCGCGCGTCTCATAATCTGCTCCGACCCATCCCTGTCTCTCAACTTTGAAAGTGGCAATCGCTAACGAGTTATTCTTCTGTGCCTGGATCGTTTTCCAAACTCTCGGAAACGACCAGCGGATAACCATAAAAACAAGGATCTATCTCCTGAAATCTGCAACGAGTCGCACACAGCCGCTGATTAATTAGTACTCCGTCGGTTAGCGTCAGTCCGTATTGAACTGAAACCGAAGGCATCAAGCCGTACAGACATTCCAGCACCACCGCTCTGCGGCAGGCCGCCCGGCAGCCGAGCTGCAGGAGCTGAACACGCTCTTCGAGAAATACGTGCCCGCCGGGCTGGACCTGATTCTGGAGGGTCTGATCGAGGGGCGGCAGGAGGCCAAGCTCCACACTATAGTGCCGCTTACAAACCTCAATATGGTGAGGCTCCGCTTTGTGTGCTATGTTGTCTGTTGACATTGCCACGCGCCTAGGAGTGTGCGAAGGAGTTCGTAATGGCTGGGAGAGGTGTGGGAAACAAACATAAAAAATCACTGAAAACCCGGGTTATCGCCGTATGCGCTCGAAATTCCTTCTAGCATGGCATAAACCAGCATTGTATGTTCTCGATTTGCTTAGCTCTACTTGTAGGACTCAAAGCTATCATTTTCAACTTGGGTTTACTCACATATAAATTCCTGTAATAAATTTGATAAGGGTTGTGGCTTGGTTAGAGTCGGGCTGGAAACGCGTGTCGCTTGGGCCGTTAGTACATATTTCCCAGTCACGCACGGCTGGCTACATGTGTTAACGACGAAGATGTGTCAGCCTCTTGAATCGCTGAGGAATTCCGGTGAATTTCCCGATGAAGGTCTTCTGTTAAATGAACCCTGACCATAGCACGCTTGCGAAAAGAACGACGCGCGATACGTTGCCGACATGTGTTTGTGCGCCGTGTTGGCGTCTGGCAGGTGGTGCAGCTGGCGAGCATGATCGACGCGCTGGTTGGCGCCGGCGAGCCGTGTCCCGAGGACCAGCTGGAGCCGGTGTTCCTGCAAGCGCTGTACTGGTCGCTGGGCGCCGGCCTGGAGGACGCCGACCGCGTCCGCTTCAACGACCTGATCCGGGACTGCGCCAACATGCCCGGCCTGGCCGACGAGGGCCCGCGCCGGGCCAAAGCAGGTGGGCGGCGGGTCGGGAGCCGCCTGACGTACCGTGGTGGGGACCGAGAAAGCTCACAAACGGGTTAGCGGCGTTCGCCAACGCTGGTAACACCGCGGCACCTGCCGCATAAGCCACGAAGGGAAAGGGAGAAAAAACGAGTGCTGCGGAATGCGTGCTTAACGAGGATGGTGGAAACGCTAAATATTAGCTGCTGAGAACGATCTGATCAAACCCATGCACGGTACCAGCAAGGGAGACATGTCTTACAGACAACATCTTAACGAATAATTAATGTGGTCGTTTCTCTGGCGTGAGCTGCGTCTTTTTATGTTATTGAGACCGCCGCACACCGTTCTAAGCAGCGTCAAAAAGTTGTTTGTGTGTTACATGGTAGAAGTGGTTTCTGTGGCATTTCTTTGCTCAGCTGTGTCGTGAGCTCAACATTTGCATTATGTGTTCCCCAGACGAATGGCCAACAACAGAAGAAACGTTGTTTGACTACTTCTGGGACATTGAAAACGGCGTGTGGGTGCCGTGGAGGGACAAAGTGCCCGAGTACATACACGACCCCGCCGTCAAGTTCAATGATATCCTGGTTCCGACCGTGGACACCGTGCGCAGCACGTGGCTCCTACATCTGATGACAGAGAAGGTATTCTGCTCTGTTAGGAACGCGTCCACCGGCACGATTCGTTGGGCTGTTGAGGACAGTCATAGGGATAGTCCCGGATTTTCTGGTATGTCTCGGATTTTCGATGCGACATATGGGCCGGTTATTGGACATATGGAATGCACTTTATATTGATTTGGGGTGAATTGATCGAATAGATATTAGATTATGGTGTTCACGCAGAACGAAGGCGCAGTCACGACTGCTGATGAGCCGAGGCACAGCCGCGACAGATGATGAGCCGAGGCACAGTCACGACCGCTGATGAGCCGAGGCACAGTCACGACCGCTGATGAGCCGAGGCACGGTCACGATCGCTGATGAACCGAGGCACAATCACTGCCGCTGATGAGCCAAGGCACAGTCACTGCCGCTGATGAGCCGAGACACAGTCACGACCGCTGATGAGCCAAGGCTCAGTCACGACCGCTGATGAGCCGAGGCACGGTCACGACCGCTGGTGAGCCGAGGCACGGTCATGACCGCTGATGAGCCGAAGCACAGTCACGACCGCTGATGAGCCGAGGCACGGTCACGATCGCTGATGAACCGAGGCACGGTCACAACCGCTGATGGACCAAAGCGCAGTCACGACCGCTGATGAGCCGAGGCACGGTCACTGCCGCTGATAACGCGTTGATCGTCGGAAATGCTCTATCGCTGTGTAACGCAGTCTAGCGCTCAGCCATCTGCCATTCCTTATCGGTGCGGTGGGTCCGAGGCGTAGCTCACCGCTGACATGCTGGGCAGATCAGGAAGCCGGTCGTGCTGGTGGGGGAGTCAGGCACCAGCAAGACGGCCACCACCTCCACCTACCTGCGTGGGCTCGACTCGGCAATCCATGTAAGAGCCGCGCCTGATGCCCGAACTGCCCTGACCCCTTCCCTCTGATCCAGTCTCACTCACTCTGTTCGTTACGTGTGTCTCAAATGGCGTACACTCCGAGTGCTGAGATGCGGCCGGCGCCATGGCGGATAGGCCTCGGGAGCGAAGTTTACGCGTTACACTGAAAGTTGCAGAGCGCTTTCAGCGTGGCCTGTTCCGTGATTACGTTTGAAGTTTGTTGATGTTCGGCAAAGCGGACGTATCCCGCTACTCTTCGACCCGGTCATATTCCGTGGCTGGACAGCCTGTTGATGAACCGGCGCGGTTGTGGCAGGTGCTGCTGTGCATGAACTTCTCGTCGCGCACAACCTCGATGGACGTCCAGCGCAATCTGGAAAGCAACGTGGAGAAGCGGACGAAGGACTCGTTCGGTCCGCCGCCCGGCAAGCGGCTTATCGTCTTCATTGACGACATGAACATGCCCAGGGTGCGTAGAGGGAAGCCGGGGGCGTCGCATTCCGCCCTCCGCTGCTGGGCTGTTGGCTTAGCGGCCGCCAGTAGGCTGCGGCCGTGCGGATTTATGGTCAGATTATTTGTAGCCTATTGCTTTGTGTGTGATGAGTTTGGTCTGGGTCGTTGCATGTTGTCTTGCGACGCTGGGGGCGGCTCTGCCGAACACCAAGAGGACCGTTCAGTGGTGTTGCGTGGTGTTCCTAGGTGGATGAATACGGAACGCAGCAAGCAATAGCCCTGCTCAAGCTGCTGCTGGAGAAGGGTGGACTGTTTGACCGTGGCAAGGATCTCAACTGGAAGCTCCTGAAGGATATCGGTCAGTTGCGTAGTCACCCTCACCACCGTACTGCACAGGCTTTTTCGCCCTGACGTTTTCACTCAGCTCCGATCTTCGAATCAATCACCGCATCGTAACGCTACAGTTCGAACACTGCAGCTGGGCTGGGCTGGGCTGGGCTGGGCTGGGCTGGGCTGGGCTGGGCTGGGCTGGGCTGGGCTGGGCTGGGCTGGGCTGGGCTGGGCTGGGCTGGGCTGGGCTGGGCTGGGCTGGGCTGGGCTGGCTGCTGGGCTGGGCTGGGCTGGGCTGGGCTGGGCTGGGCTGGGCTGGGCTGGGCTGGGCTGGGCTGGGCTGGGCTGGGCTGGGCTGGGCTGGGCTGGGCTGGGCTGGGCTGGGCTGGGCTGGGCTGGGCTGGGCTGGGCTGGGCTGGGCTGGGCTGGGCTGGGCTGGGCTGGGCTGGGCTGGGCTGGGCTGGGCTGGGCTGGGCTGGGCTGGGCTGGGCTGGGCTGGGCTGGCTGGGCTGGGCTGGCGGGCTGGGCTGGGCTGGGCTGGGCTGGGCTGGGCTGGGCTGGGCTGGGCTGGGCTGGGCTGGGCTGGGCTGGGCTGGGCTGGGCTGGGCTGGGCTGGGCTGGGCTGGGCTGAACTATCTAAAACGCTTGGGCCCTTTGATTCTGTAGTCTTATTCGACCGGGTTCCCGCAGGCTACGTGGCGGCCATGGGCAAAGCCGGCGGCGGCCGGAACGTCATGGACCCGCGCTTCCTGTCGCTGTTCTCCGTGTTCACCATGGCCTCGCCGGGCGACGAGTCGCTGCGGCACATCTTCAACAGGTGACTGACGCCTGGTCGGCCGGGCGCTGGCGTAACCGGGCGCCGCCGCTCGGAGAATGTCCTGCAGCTTGAGCGACAAGCTTACCCTATCTGAACATGCCAAGATAATTATGGGCATTTTTAGTTGATGCTGTCGGGTACGTCTGGGTGTGTGGTGCGTGGCTGTGGCGCGGTGCTGCGGTGCTTCGGCGTGGTGCCGCGGCTCTGCGGTGCTGCGACGCGGTGCTGCGATGCTGCGGCGTGGTGCTGCGGTGCTGCGGTGCTGCGCTGCCGCGGTGCTGCGCTGCCGCGGTGCCGCAGCTGGGTCGCTACGCACTAATCTGTGCTGCAGCTGATCACTGTATGTTTGTTTTGCCGATGACCTGCTGAACGCGTTTTGCCAAAAGCTACAAGGCATGTTCACGTTTGCACATACGAGGCCCATCTGTCTCTGTCTGCAGCATTCTCGCTGGTCATCTGCAGCCGTTCGATTCGGCCATCTCTGAGCTGGCCACGCCGCTCACGAAAGCGACCATGCAGCTGTATCAGGTATGCGGGGTGGATGACACCCTCCGCACTTGGCTATAAGACGACTTTTCACCGCTTGCGCTCCGTTTAAAGAAACCTGAAGGCCAGTGCACCGTGAGTGGTTCGTATCGATCTTGCTTAAGACGTTATTCCACTCCAAGTGTCACCACACTACGCATTCTGGCGTCAGTTTCATGTCATGCCTCACCACGTCCTAGGCCATCGTGCGGTTGCTGCCTCCGACGCCGTCGCGCTTCCACTACCTGTTCAACCTGCGAGACCTGTCGCGCATCTTCGGCGGCCTCTGCCAAACCAACCCTGAGCGCTTCACCAAAAGCAAGCAGATGGTGCGCTGCTGGAGGAACGAATGCCTGCGCGTGTTTGCCGACCGCCTGATCGACGACAAGGTACGACGGCGTGGGCGACTGGAGCGGCCGCACTGGGCCCATCCGTCCATGGTCCTGCGTGCTTGCCTCTGTCGAGAGATGTGAGCAGCCACGGACGGCTCCCAGAGAGTCGATTTATTATCGTAAAGGTTTTACTGTAAAAACGTTGCAAGTTCACTTTTGGGCACCAAACGGTTCACTTCACGGCCCTAGCCGGTCGCCGTCCACTGGCCGCACAAAGTCACCCCGCTGGCCGGTTGTCTTCATTGTCGGTTGGGTGGCGTGCGTCTCGTCATAGGCCTGGCCGGGCTGGTTATGTGCATCCACTAGAATCATCCCCATAAGTCTGTCTCGTTTTAGGCAATTGAATGACTGGCTTCGGAGGAAAAGAACAAATGTACCCTGTTAAGTTGCTGACCTATAGCAGGTCAAAGTCAGGTCATGGCTATCAGCGAAGACAGTTTAAAGGAATTGCTCACGCGGTGTTACATCGGTGTGATAGACGAAGTCGTGCTGCCTTGAGATCGTTTTTTCAAATTATGAAACAATTCAAGTCATGATCACGTTTGAAAACTAAGGACAGATCAAGGTCAAAACCAAACCGCTTTTCTACTGGAAAACATGTTTGATGTGGTAGCTGTGAACTATCATTTGGAACTCCTGGATCACAAGGATGTCAAAAGATGACTTTTTGACTTCATGATGGTCAGATGACTGACCGAAAATGACCTCGATCGGTTTTTTGCTATAAAAGCATGGCGCCTAGGGTAGTGCGTGACGCCGATCGTGGATTCATAGATCAAAATTACATCGATTTTTTTTAGTGGTTGCTGCCCTGATAACCTTAAGTCTGGTCGTTGGCCTGATATTAGCATCAGCGACCTTTTACTGTCAAAGGTATTTAGGCTAACGCTGGCTGCGTGAGAAGCTCTGATGGCAGTTCGGACGGAAATCTGAAGTTTGACCTTATTCAATCGAAAGGGCACGACCTAGGGAACATAAAATTTGTCACAAGTGAAGTCACAGGTATCCGGACCTGCCCTCTGAATTTGGTGTCTCTAGCTCTCTTACTTTTTTTTTTAACTCAGCAGGGTAAATTGACCCCACAGCACCCGAGCGGGTCGCAGCCAACCACCTACCCGAGCGCGTGTTAAGGGAATGCTACAGGAGCAAATGACGAGGCACCACGCGGGCAAATAAGGAGACACTAAAGCGGAAATGAGACTCGTCTCCGACATATGTAGATGCCACAGAGCCGAATGATGAGACGCTATAGGCGGCTGGCGGCGCAGCGCCTGTCACTGAAGGCGTCGCTCGTCTGCAGGACTACGCGGTGGTGTCTGGCCAGCTGGCACAGCTGCTGGCCGAGAACGTGGGCGAGCGGAGCGAGGAGTGGACTGACTACGTTCTGCGCGACCCCATCCTGTTCGGCGACTACCGCAACGCGCTCGAGGAGGACGTGCCGCGACTGTATGAGGACATGCAGGACTACGACGCCTCTAAGGCCCTCTTCCAGGAGGTGGGCAAGGGCAACTACTTTGGCCCAGCGTTAGGTGACTCTAGCGGGGCGCTGTGGTGCACAAATTATGATTATTGATGGGCTTCTACCGTCTATGTGTACGAAAACAGTAGCAAGGTAATTCATGGACATCAAATTGGAACTCCCATCGTATATGGTCGCCCGTCGTAGTTGAGCGTCTTGTTGGGGATTATTTCCGTTTAGACAACTGTGAAGCCCATGTTCAAATACAAGCGAAGCGTGAAATAATGCCAGAATGGGGCGGCTGCGACCCAGATGTTTGACCAGTGCAGTGGCAGTAGTGGTGCCCGAGCCACGAGATTTACGCGGTCCTTGTGGCTACGACTGGGAGGATTTTGGAACAGCGGTGCGCAGGCCGTCAGCTCGCACCACGCGCAGCCGGCGTCAGGTGCTCCTGCCGCGTCCACAGATCATGGAGGAGTACAATGAGAGCGGTAACAACAAGCTACAGCTGGTGCTGTTTGACGACGCGCTGCAGCACCTGACGCGTATTCAGCGCGTGCTGCGCATGGTGCAGGGCCACGCCCTGCTGGTGGGCGTCGGCGGCAGCGGCAAGCAGAGTCTCACCCGGCTGGCCGCCTTCACCGCCGGTACGTGGGGGCTCGGCCGTTGGCTGTCGGTGCCGCCTGTGCGTGCCGGTACCGGCGGCACTACTGATACGCGCAGCGCCCAGCCGCCTCTCCTGGGCACCCGATGTGACGCCCGCCGGCGCAGGATCAGTTGTGTCAGTCTGGCACGGCGCCGGATCGTGGATGTTCGCGTTCGTCCAGTGATGGTGCTGAGGCTGTGTTTGTGTGTGGTCCGGCCACAGGATGTGAGGTGTTCGAGATACAACTGAGCCGCGGTTATGGCGAGTCGTCGTTCCGCGACGATCTGAAGGTGCTGTACGACAAGCTGGGCCTGCAGAACAAGCAGGTGGTGTTCCTCTTCTGCGACAACCATGTCGCTGAGGAGGGCTTCCTGGAGCTGGTCAACAACATGCTGACCTCGGGTGAGTTCTCGTCGCGTGCCATCGACTTGGAACGCTGGTCCGGGCTTATGGTTTTATGTTATAGTTGTTGTTTTTACCAAAAGACAATTCATCTTATTTTGTTCCATGTTTCATGCATTGTTGGGGATCATATACATACCATGTTATGCATTGTAGCAGTAGATAATTTGTGTAGCCTGTTCAGATATGTGCTTCCTCAGCTGACCTAAATCACCGTTTCAGGTATGGTCCCAGCCCTGTTTGGAGAAGACGAAAAGGATCAGATTCTGGGAGCTGTGAGAGACGAAGCTGTTAAAGCAGGATACGCCATACAAAAGTCTGTACACTAGAGCTGTGCACTCGCCGGCCGTTAGTGGCCACGCGGCCTTCTGTAGCATTATCATCACATAAGTGCGCAACTTATCCAGGTCATTGTTTTTTAAAGCAGGCTTACAAATACGGAGGGAAATGAAATGAACAGTACGCCAAATGCTGGCAAATGCTCTGTTTTAAAATGAAGGCTGGATTCTGTAATTGGGTTCTGCTCATACTTTAGGGGAACTGCTGACGGTGGGCCGAGATCATGCGGATGCGGTCATGGATGAGATCATGCCTCTGAGATGGGGTGGGGGGGGGGGGGGGAGGGCAACTCAGGGTTTGAGGTGTCAACATGGAATCTGGGTACAACCGGTCCTAACAATATCACTTAAACACCAGCCGGACCAGGGGAAGACGCCAACAGGCGCAACTGATGTTTTCCTGGAATATCTTGGTAACCACTACAGAACAAACGCTGATTTTTTTCAATAGCTGACATGACAAATTTACCCAGCCAACACTTTTTCTGCTACACATCATGTCCTTTCATCCATTCATGAAGGTCATGTCAGTCAGGTTTTTTGCCGAAATGACCATACAGGGTAACTTGTTTGGAATTGGCACATGTTATTTGTTCATACCATGCTACAAAAATCCAATTTCACGAAAATTTTTGGGACGGATATGTCCCACAGCTCCCACCCCGTCCCCTCTCCATGGTGGTTACACCCATGAATAGAGTTTACCAGCATTGGTCTTCCCAATTCAATTGTGGCCCTGGCTTGACGCATTTGCCTACTGCGCGTGCCGCCGGTGACCTCATTGTTCAACAGCAGCACTCCAGCCCGGTGCTGCGTACAGAAGTGATGAGGTGCCGGACGAGTCACGCGCACCACTGACCCGAGGCCGGCCATGTGCCCTCAGGGAGAGCGTGTGGATCAGTGACGCGCACCACTGACCCGAGGCCGGTCCTGTGCCCTCAGGGAGAGCGTGTGGCAGTTCTTCGTGAATCGGTGCGTGCAGAACCTCCACGTGGTGCTGTGCATGTCGCCGACCGGCCAGCAGCTGCAGATCCGCTGTCGCAACTTCCCCGGTCTGGTCAACAACACCACCATCGACTGGTTCCAGCCGTGGCCGGAGCAGGCGCTGTTCGCCGTGGCCAGCGTCTTCCTGGCGGAGGTCCGGTGTCAGGCGGCCGGGGATAGGTCGGGGGGGGGGGGGAGGGGGACTGCTGGGCTTTGCGGGGTGTATCGGGGCGGGACGGGGCTCCTTAGCCAGACGAGACCGAGTCAGCTCGTCAGGAGAAGGGGGGGGGGGGACTGCCGCATGACCACCAGAAGAAGAGCACTCGGGGCTATTGTGTTTCCTTCAACGGTGGTTTCCTCTATCAAACATCGTGAAACGTCTAAGCTCTCCCTTTATTCGCCCAACGTCTGTATGTGATGCTATACAGGGACCATACCTATCGCTTTAAAACAGCGCTTTGTCTTACGGATGGCGCGCGTGTCGCATGGCACTCGCGCCTGACGGGTGCCGTCTGATGTCGCCAGACGTGTCGTACCTATACCGCGTCGCCGTCGTGGTCCGCGCGTGACGGGTGCCATGTGATGTCACCAGACGTGTCGTACCTATACCGCGTCGCCGTCGTGGTCCGCACGTGACGGGTGCCATGTGATATCATCACGTGTCGTACCTATACCGCGTCGCCGTCGTGGTCCGCACGTGACGGGTGCCATGTGATGTCATCAGACGCGTCGTACCTATACCGCGTCGCCGTCGTGGTCCGCACGTGACGGGTGCCATGTGATGTCATCAGACGCGTCGTACCTATACCGCGTCGCCGTCGTGGTCCGCACGTGACGGGTGCCATGTGATATCATCAGACGTGTCGTACCTATACCGCGTCGCCGTCGTGGTCCGCACGTGACGGGTGCCATGTGATGTCATCAGACGCGTCGTACCTATACCGCGTCGCCGTCGTGGTCCGCACGTGACGGGTGCCATGTGATATCACCAGACGCGTCGTACCTATACCGCGTCGCCGTCGTGGTCCGCACGTAACGGGTGCCATGTGATATCATCAGACGCGTCGTACCCGTCGTGGTCCGCACGTGACGGGTGCCATGTGATATCACCAGACGCGTCGTACCCATGTCAGGTCGCCGTCGTGGCCCGCGCGTGACGGAGGCCGCGTGATGCCAACAGGCGGCACGTGTTCCGGACGAGTTTCGAGCCTCGATCGTGGCGCACGTGGTGCAAGTGCACACGTCGGTTCAGCTGGCCAGCGTGCAGTACCAGCAGAAGCTGCGCCGCGTCAACCACTGCACGCCCAAACACTACCTGGACTACATCAAGACGTACCTGAGGCTGCTGCAGGAGAGCAACGAGGACAACCTGGCGCAGGTGTGGAGGCGGGCGGCGCCGCCGCCGTCTGCGTCCTGCCAGCTGTGTGCTGGTTACGAGGACAGGGCTCAGCGCCACGCTGACTGTGTCTGAAGTGGCTTGCAGAGCCACTCGGCCCGAGAGCGGCTGCTGGAGGAGGTGTTGCTGATGTCACTGTTAGGCCGTGCCATTGCTGTGGTCTGGGGCACCATGGGGTAACTGTGCTGCTCTTAAGCCTGGCGCAGTGTGCATTCAAGTGCTGGACGAATCTACGGCCGCACGAACTCATTTCAGTGTGAACGCTTAGGCGGTGGCCTGCAGAAAATAGCAGAAGCGCGTGAACAAATTCACGAACTCAATGCGAAACTCGAAGTACAAAAAGTCGCCGTACTGGAGAAATCCGCCGCCTGCGAGAAGCTCATCCAGGAGATCGCTTTGGGTACGGAACGCGCCCGTGGCGCCCCCAGGTGTTGCGGTGCCTCATTGACTGTACCAAGGTAGTTGTCCTTGCGCGATGCCTTCGCGAATGCATTGAACGTTTCGTCTGCGTATGAATGGTACCCATGTGTTTAGCCGGACCCAGTACTGAGCTTTGTGACGGGAATTAAGAAGACGCTGCTGCGCGTAGTGAGGTTAAGGAGGAAAAAATACCAAGCGCTTTCTTGCTGTCATAAAAGATGTTTGTCCAAGGACGGTGAAGTGCAGGTCGCGGGCTGAGAGCAGTGTGTGCGTCCCTCAGGCACGGAGGAGGCGTCACAGAAGAAGGAGTTCGCCATTTCTAAGAGTAAGGAGATCGAAACGAGTAGTAAGGTGATCGCCCGGGAGAAGCGGGAGGCGGAGGAGGTGCTGTCGGATGCGCTGCCTGTGCTGGAGGCAGCCCGACTGGCGCTGGAGGACCTGGAGAAGGCCGACATCACCGAAATCAGGTCTGGCAGCCACCGCGCGCACTCAACGGGAGTATTGCATCGAGTGATGCCTAGCTGAAATATAGTGATGTGAGCGTGGTGATGCCATTCAGCGAATAATGCATCCCCAAATCAACACTCTTTCCTGTTGTGTTCTTACTCCCAAAAGTCTAAATGTGCTCTGTGCATGTTTGTCATCATCTAGACGCATGAGCACAGTTCACTCACCACCAAGAGGTCACGTTTTTCTCGATTGACAGGTCGTTCGCCACGCCGCCCAAACCGGTGCAGGCCGTGTGTGAGTGTGTGGTGGTGATCCGGGGCATCAAAGACGTGTCGTGGAAGGGCGCCAAGGGCATGATGTCGGACCCTTCCTTCCTGAGAACGCTGCAGGAGATGGACGTCGACTCCATCCCACAGTCTGCCATCAAGACCGTCAAGGGCTTCCTCAAGGTTGGCGCTGACCGGAGCTGCGTAGCCGCCTGTCACTTGCGACACGTCTGTTGCCGGGACATGCTCAGCTGGCAGGAGTACGTCGACGAGGCGTAAAGAGCGATTACAACAGCTAGTGCCAGCGCGACGGTCATGCAGAAGACGTGGCCAGATTGTGCTGCTGAAAAGGCAGCTCCAGCTCTCATGGGATGCTGGGCTGCACCAATCGGGCCAGTGTGGCGTGGGTAGCGCGGCTGCGTTGCGGTGCTTTGTATGTATGTGTACTGACTGACAGGTGCATGCATTTTGATCACTGAATCGACAAACTGGCCCACAGGAGTTGCGAATGAGTGAGGACGAGATGAGAGCGGTGTCCCGCGCTGGAGCCGGTCTCCTCAAGTTTGTCAATGCTGTGATGAGCTACTGTGACGTGCTGAAGGAGGTGCGGCCGAAGAGGGAGAAGGTGGCTCAGCTGGAAAAAGATTTCTACGCGGTAAGGCGATGTAGAACATGATATTGCCTTGTCCCCTGAAATGGCGTGTTTCGTATATGATGTCTGCAGGGTGGTGTAATGCATTCGCAAAACGTGTCGGATTTATGGAGCTTCGAATATTCTCTGATCTTCAAAGGTATTTTCAGTCAGCAGCATGCGTTTGATCTGTGTAATGTTTACATAAAGCGCTTTTTTACCCCAACATGTATGCTTTTTTAGCTTACATGTAAACAAAATATAACACGTTTCAGGCTGTACAGTCGGCAGTTTAGCCAAGACCACCCTGAATCCGTAGCTCGCTCATGAGTGTTTCTTTATGTGTGCAGTTTGGGAATTGCCCTGTCATGACAGCGACCAGCCTCATTAAATCCGCCTGATCACGCCGTGGTGGACATAACCGTCCTGGTCCAGCTGTGAGCCGCAAGGAATGTTGGGTGTACGGCTGCCATGATGACATCTATTATCATCTTATTTTTGCAGGCGAAGAAAGAATTGGACGCCACCAATGCTGAAGTGGAGCGAATCGAGCAGCTAATGGCCGAGCTCAATGCCAAGTTTGAGACGGCCAAAGAGGAGCGTGCCATTCTCCAGGCGGAGACTGAGCTGATGATGAAGCGTTTGGACGCGGCCGACCGACTCATCAACGGTCTGGCGTCCGAGAACGAGAGGTGACCATAAACTTTGGGGTGGAATAGTCGCGCAGAGTGCTAGCCTCGTGATGGATTGGTTACCAGTGTCGTCACCCGCCATCTCACGATCGCTCGTTAATTGTGCTGTTCTTAATGGGTTGGTCCCCAATACCGTCACTCGCCATCTCACGATCGCTCATTGATGTGCAGTACTTAATACATGTTCACCAATGCCGTCACCCGCCGCCTCGCCATCGCTCATTAACAGCGCAGCTCCTAATGGATTCGTCACAACTATCATCACTTGCCACCTCACAATCGCTCATTAAATATGCAGCTCTTGATGGCTTTTCATCACTGAGTACTGAAGGATAGCATCACCTTGTAACGCATTGTAGTGCACAAGATGGAAGAAGGCGCTAGTCTCCTCCCAGAACTTGTCCGAACACTCCTACACCAGCCATATAACGCCAGCCCACAGAGTGTGTGCTGGGCGCTTTTCCGACCAGCCGGCCGTCGGATGACCGCAGTAGTAGTTAATCGTTCATCCGCCAGGTGGACGCAGACACTAAAGGAGCTGGGTGAGCAGCGGATCCAGCTGATGGGCGACTGCCTGCTGTGCTCGGCCTTCCTCTGCTACGTGGGCGCCTTCACCTGGGACTACCGCAACCAGCTGGTGTACACCGACTGGCAGGCGGACCTGCTGGAGCGCAGCGTGCCCATGTCGCAGCCCTTCCTGCTCGAGCGAGTGCTCACTGACGACGTCGAGATCTCAAAGTACGACAGCCAGGGAGAGGCCCGTGCTGAGGGCGCCGCGACCGAGACCGGTGTCAGACAGGTGGAGGAGGGAGTCAGGGGCAGGCTCGGGTGTCGTGGGAGGAGGGTCACCCACGGTGCGCACGGGTGAAGCTAGCAGGGCCCCTCTTTTCAACTTGTCTGCGTCGCTCATTGCAGTTGACCTGTGAGGAAGGGCTACCCAAAGAGCTTGTGTCCAGCTCCTACGTTCTAGTGTGCTCGCCACCCACATGGAATGATGCAGCGTGTTGTCTCAGACACAGTAGACCTGTGTCCCAGTTATATGCCACTCTTGGATTGGAATGTGTTCCATGCTGTGCTAGCTCCTGAAGCCCTCTGATGTACTCAGGTGGAATTCACAAGGTCTATTCAGCGGGTGAGAAGTGATTGCTGGTGCTTTGTTCTATCCACAGCATGGGAATGTCTGTAGTTCTCGTGCTTTCCCCCCAAAAAACTGACTAATTTCGCTAAAGTAAATGCACTGCTATTGTCTGTGGTGGATGCATGCGCCCATACCCCCCCCCCCCCCCCGAGTCTTGGATGCAGGCATAAGACATACGTGCGCACATCGTTAATAACATCTTATCGGAATGCATGGACTCATTGTGATATCATGGGAGTCATTGGCACAGCAACCTGGCATAGCACAGTAGTTAGTTATGATTGTCTTCGGACGTCAAAGGGTGCTCATTCGCTTTGAAACGGATATGTGTCCTTGCGACTGTTCGTGCCCCAGGAATGACTGTCGAAATTTTCTCGTTTTCAAAGGCCAAAAGTTAAACGTGGCGGTGTCGTGTATCACACTGAAATCGTCACTCCCCGTGTTGTGGATGCCGCACGGTGTTATCTCGTGTATGCAGTAAGACGTGGAGTGTCATAGGCCGTTCTAATGCCTGCTGTTTGCGGGCATCGGCACGCAGATGGAACTCGGAAGGACTTCCTCCCGACGAACTCTCCGTACAGAACGGCATCTTGACCACCCAGGGCTCCCGCTTCCCGCTGTGCATCGATCCGCAGCAGCAGGCCCTCAACTGGATAAAAAAGAAGGAGCAGAACAACAATCTGAAGGCAGGTTACTCGACCATCAAAACATAAGGCAGATTCTCCGTGCATGGGATTCGTTATCATGTCTCTGACTGTCATGCTAGGTTTACGTATTCACCGCGAGGCAAACGCATGCAAGTTACTGCAAATAACTTGGACGGCTTCTGCTCAACGTGGAGCCATGCGTTTCATGTTCTTAATAAAACTAGAAACATTCATGGAGGCATGTGAATGCTAATTTTCCTTTCAGTGTGATTTCTTGCGTTGTTTCACGCTACCGTTATGGCGATCGTCTAACCCTATGTTATCTTAGGAAGTTCGAGGCTGCCAAACTAGTCTAACGCTATCACTCTGTTTCAGGTGATGACGTTCTGTTATCTTAGAAAGTTCGAAGTTGTTAAACTGGTCTAACGCTATCACTCCGTTTCAGGTGGTGACGTTCAGTGACAGCGACTTCCTGCGCCAGCTGGAGGTGGCGATCAAGTATGGCTTCCCCGTGCTCGTCCAGGACGTGGAGGAATACATCGATCCGGTCATCGATAACGTGCTAGAACGCAATATCAAAAGTAAGTCTGAGCAAAAGTAAGTAAGCCGCTTCAGTCCCAGTGGACTTGCAACAATACAAAAGCGAGGGTATCGATGCTATCTCCGCCACCAAACTACAGTGACTGCGCCGAGCGGATTCGCTCCTTCCAAGCCATACATGGGCACCGCCTGAATATTATCGAATGACCTGAAAATTCAAGACGTTTGCTACCTGCAGCTGCCGTTAGCTGTGTATGTGTGTGTGTGAGAGCGTGTGCATGCGTGTGTGTGCGCGTGTGTGCGTGCGTGCGTGCGTGCGTGCGTGCGTGCGTGCGTGCGTGCGTGCGTGCGTGCGTGCGTGCGTGCGTGCGTACGTACGTGCGTGTGTGCTTCAGCCGATTAGGGGCGCGTGTTCGTGATGCTCGGGGACCGGGAGGTGGAGCTCCTAATTTGCCGCCTTCAGCTGCCGCTCAGCTGGGTATGCGTGTGTACGTGCGTACGTGCTTCAGCCGAGCAGGGGCGCGTGTTCGTGATGCTCGGAGACCGGGAGGTGCAGCTCCTGATTTGCCGCCTTCAGCTGCCACTCAGTTGGGTATGCGTGTGTACGTGTGTGTGTGCGTGTGCTTCAGCCGAGCAGGGGCGCGTGTTCGTGATGCTCGGGGACCGGGAGGTGGACTACGATCAGAACTTCCGCCTCTATCTCGACTCCAAGATGACGAATCCCACGTACTCTCCGGCGGTGTTCGGAAAAGCCATGGTCATCAACTATACTGTGACCACCAAGGTAAGCCCTGCTATGGGAAAGGCTAAACATCATTCGTATGGGATCCGTTGGCTGGCATCATCCGCGTTCTGCTTGCTGCTGTAATCGCTGTGTCATCAGCGTGCCAGCGTTTGATTGTGGGATCGCATGGTATGCGTCTTGTGGATGTACACAAGCCGTTGGTTTGCAATACGTGGCCGGCGCCCACCAGGGTCTGGAGGATCAGCTGCTGAGTGTGGTGGTGGGCTCGGAGAGGCGCGACCTGGAGGAGCAGCGAGAGAATCTCATCTCAGAGACCAGTCAGAACAAACGCCTGCTCAAGGACCTTGAGGACGCGTTGCTTCGAGAGCTCTCCACCTGCCAGGTGGCCGGGGGCGGGCTTGGTTCGCTGCGGTGTCTCCGCTGCCACCCGTTCACCATAGATCATTGTCGGAATGTGATAAGTGGGCGGACAGTGTCGACGGACTGAAAGCGGTGGTGATCTTGTACCTGTGAAATGATAGCGGCTGTGACCAGCGATACTGCTACAGGGATGACGGGATGGGTTGGGAAGATGGTCGGGCGGGTGATTTGATAATGCGTCATACTTGTTTCCGTCCCGTAAAGAAAGGGCTTTAAGAAACGGTGTAACAATAGAAACAATGTGTGCGCATCAGAAGTCGTGAATCGATCTTCGGTGATTTCCGAAATCTGATCGCGTTTACAACTGTGCGTCCCGTTTCTGCTGCTTTCACCCCCGAGGGCCAGAAATGAGCGCAGGGTATTACATTTGAGCTCACGGGTAAGAGGATGGTGAGCATCGGCGGGGTGTCTAGCGAGGGTCGGATCAGCGGCTCTGCCGACCCCTGACGCTCCTTGACCTACGCCGCAGGGCAACATGCTGGACAACACCGAGCTGCTGCAGACCCTGGAGGACACCAAGAGCAAGGCCACGGAGGTGTTCGAGAAGCTGGAGCTGGCGGCCAGCACGGCGCTCGACATCGACCGCCTGCGCGACGGCTTCCGGCCGGTGGCCCGGCGCGGCGCGCTGCTCTTCTTCGTGCTTTCCGACATGGCCACTGTCAACTCCATGTACCAGTACTCGCTGGCCGCCTACCTGCAGGTGCGATCTACGGCGCAGCCAGTCGACCGCGGCGCGTTCAAAAGGCAGGGGACATTGGGTCTGCTCGAGCGGAGTTCATCTGTGGAGATCTCCTCTGCGGTGATATTTTCGGAGTATGTGGCCAGACCAGTAGTTCAGGAGCTACGATGTCCCGCAGCGCGCCTTATTCTGGATTTACCACATGCCGCTCGCCTGGCACGAATGTTCTCCGTGGTATTGTTGGGAACCGGAACTAATATCGCGAGACGGGACGATTCCCTTGGCCCGTTATCGCATATTTTATGAATCAAATATAATATGTGTTCCCCGCAGGTCTTCTCCTATTCATTGAAGAAGAGCATGCCCGACACGGTGCTTGCAAAGCGGCTGAAAAACATTATAGACACCCTGACGGAGAACGTTTACGACTACGGCTGCACGGGTAAGTCTCCGCCCGCGACCTTCGGACCGTGCAAGTCCTGATCGGTCGCGTGACGTATTGCGTTCATATGCACCGCATACATTCATTCGTGCAGAGGGATCTTGTTTGCCGCACCTTCATTTCGTCGTAGGTAAATCACAGGGAGAGGAATGGTAGGGGACCTGGTGCGGCGGGGCCGTTAGAATAACAATACGCGAGGTTTTGACAGTGGGACCAACCGAATGGTGTGCCGCCTTGAGGATCAGCAGCCGTAACATGCGGACAGCCAATAAAACACTCTGCCGTCAAAAGTCAGAAACGCGCAACCAGCAATTTCATAATTGTTCAGGGGAACGTTTTTTTGTGTTATTTTAGTGTCATGGTCGCAAATAAGACGTAAGTGTGTACCGGTCAGGAGACAAAATTATTATTTATCTAGCAAAGTAAAAACTACAAGGACTGGGAATCGCTACAGTCTTAACTCAGGGCCGGGGCGTCTACGCAAAAGTCAAGCATTTGTTGGGTGGAGAGCGTCAGACATGGTGTCAGACATGCCCGTTGTGATTCACAGGATGATGGTAGGTTCTTGGTGGTAAATAGCTATTATATAAACACAGCGAAACTGCTATCCTGCCATTTTATGAACGACTGCAACGCACGTGTGTGACAGCAGCACTTCCGCCGTGAAGATGCTCTTATTTGCTTGGATCTGGAAACAACTTGAAATAAACATTTTCCAGTGTCAAAAACGCGTAACTGCTCAATTTACAACGGTCCCAATGACAAAAAACGCGTATCTTCACAAATACGCGCTTTTGACACAGTACTGACGCTGATCGTTGGTGACAAAACCGCGCATGTAAGCACATGCGTGTTTTTGACCCTGAAAACAACCGCGTGGGAGCACTTGAGCTTCGTGTTTCACAGATACGTGTCAGTAACTCGTTTCTGTCGTTGGGAAACGTCACAGGCACAGCGTATACGCGAATTTACCAAGCTTACATTCCTTTTGATTCTTTTTAAAAGCATTAATGCACACTTTACCTGGTCAAAATATACAGCTCGTCGAGACAAAACTAATGATACCAATAACTCAATTTGGAGGACAAAATGTTAGTTTCGTATTGCTGACTGAAGGCGGCAGCACTGCTGTCTTATGGTAGCAGCAAATGAGTGTGCTGGCCCCGAGTCTATTGTGGGGTCATGCCGTCAGACATCGAAGAACGCGCGACCCGTGATTTATGCCATTTTCATGTCCTTGGTTCAAATGACCTCTTTCGTGCGGACGTAAAGTGAAGATGGTGTTGTTCCCGTCTCCCTGACCTGGTTGTTTAATCATTGGGGCTAACAATGTCACGCATGGTTAGATTCTGTACGGGAGAGTCGAGTGTAATTGGACTCGGCTCATCGCGCTGGCGCCGTGATTATCTGGAGCATTTGGTGTATGCATGTCTGACCTCTGGGCTTCAGGTGGCGAGTGGGCGGTTGGAATTTCACAAAGCCGCGTGGCGTAATAACACCGACACTGCCTGCGCAAAACGACGAACGAGAAGTCCCTGAGTGTATTCGTATTCGAGTGATCTCATGCTGACCTTAAGTGAATTGTAAGCTTACGAGTGGTCAACTAACTGCAATTCTGTGAAGAAAATTTTTATTGGACAGTATATTCTGGTGAAAGGACGCTCGCATCCGGCAAGTAAAAGGCAAAGCAATCTACGTTAAGGTCCAGAGTCCCGCATATAACATCGCTCTTGTTATTCTTTTCTAGTACTTGAGCAATCGAGGAATTATGTGGTCCTACGCAATAATGTGCATTGAAGTTAAACATTCTCACTTTAGATCATAAGGATTGTTTGATGCCTTCGTTTATCCAGTACTTCCCGGCGTCATGGCGGCTGGTAGTTGTTGGATAATAACTTATAATGCCGACGCACAGGAGCTCACAAACTGGCCTATGTTAAGCGGCCCAAGGACGCGTTTGCTCTAGTCGCACGAGTTTCGGTCAGCACGGTTGTTTGTTCGATGGTCAGCTGGGCGGCGCATGACCAGCCATGCCTCACCTTCCGACAGGTATCTTCGAGCGACACAAGCTCGTTCGGTGGTCAGCTGGGCGGCGCATGACCAGCCATGCCTCACCTTCCGACAGGTATCTTCGAGCGACACAAGCTCGCTCGGCGGTCAGCTGGGAGGCGCATGACCAGCCGCGCCTCACCTTCCGACAGGTATCTTCGAGCGACACAAGCTCGCTCGGCGGTCAGCTGGGAGGCGCATGACCAGCCATGCCTTACCTTCCGACAGGTATCTTCGAGCGACACAAGCTCGCTCGGCGGTCAGCTGGGAGGCGCATGACCAGCCGCGCCTCACCTTCCGACAGGTATCTTCGAGCGACACAAGCTCGCTCGGCGGTCAGCTGGGAGGCGCATGACTAGCCGCGCCTCACCTTCCGGCAGGTATCTTCGAGCGACACGAGCTCGCTCGGTGGTCAGCTGGGCGGCGCATGACCAGCCGTGCCTCACCTTCCGGCAGGTATCTTCGAGCGACACGAGCTCGCTCGGTGGTCAGCTGGGCGGCGCATGACCAGCCGTGCCTCCCTTCCCGCAGGTATTTTCGAGCGACACAAGCTCGTTCGGTGGTCAGCTGGGCGGCGCATGACCAGCCGTGCCTCACCTTCCGGCAGGTATTTTCGAGCGCCACAAGCTCGCTCGGTGGTCAGCTGGGCGGCGCATGACCAGCCGCGCCTCACCTTCCGGCAGGTATCTTTGAGCGACACAAGCTCGCTCGGTGGTCAGCTGGTAGGCGCATGACCAGCCGTGCCTCCCTTCCCGCAGGTATTTTCGAGCGACACAAGCTCGCTCGATGGTCAGCTGGTAGGCGCATGACCAGCCGTGCCTCCCTTCCCGCAGGTATTTTCGAGCGACACAAGCTCGCTCGATGGTCAGCTGGGCGGCACGTGACCAGCCGTGCCTCACCTTCCGGCAGGTATCTTCGAGCGACACAAGCTCGCTCGGCGGTCAGCTGGGAGGCGCATGACCAGCCGTGCCTCCCTTCCCGCAGGTATTTTCGAGCGACACAAGCTGCTGTTCTCGCTGCAGATCACCGTCACACTGCAGCGCAGCGAGCAGCTGGTGGTGCAGCCCGAGGTCGACTTCTTCATCAAAGGTGCGCCCGCCGCCGTCGGCTGACGCGCCCGCCGTGTCAGAGATCGTGTTTCGGCGTGTTCCGTTGTTTTGCGCCAGTAGAACACATTTTTTGTTTACTGGCAGGTCACCAAGCTGTGTTTTGCGCATGTGGCTTGCTTGTGTCTAAATATATATATATATATATATATATATATATATATATATATATATATATATACATATATATATGTATGTATATATATATATGTGTATGTATGTATGTATATGTATATGTATGTATATGTATATGTATGTATGTGCATATATATATACATATATATCTTTATTCATGCATATATATATATATATATATATATATATATATATGTATATATGTGTGTGTATGTATGTATGTATATGTATTCTCTTACTCCAGGGAATGTATCCGTCGAGAAGACATCACTGGCGAAGCCTTGTGACTGGATACCAGATAAGGTGAGCAGGCTGTCAAACACGCTCTGATGGGTATTCGCATCTCTGGAACAATACTTTTCAGGCTACCTTAATTACTGAGGTTCCTGTCACTACAGGTCCCTTCACAGATTCTCTTTACGTTTCCTCAGGGCTGGGAGGACATCTGCCGACTGACACAGGATTTCTCAGACCTGTTCGGGAATCTTCCCAGGGACCTGAAGAAGCGCGCAGAAGACTGGCACAAGGTGCGTAGTAAAATACGATTTCATTAATGCGATCTATTGCGTTGCCGGTTTGCAAATGCCTGTGTGTGTTCATACGTCGCTATCAATCATCTTCGGGAAGTGCCGACAATATACAGTTTGAAGTGTGACAGGCTCCTTCTCGTGCCAAAAGGCGAAAACCCCCGATGGTGGGTCTTACTAGGCAACCATTTCGAAGATTCTATACGATTCCGGTAGTTGCGCCGCGCACTGTACCGGCTGACATTGCTGAGCAATGTCAGCAGTGCCAGCATCAATGTCAGCAATGTCAGCGGGACACCCGTCTGCTCTGCCTGCACCTGACCGGGCGCGGCGTTGTCTCTCATCGGCGGTGTGTGCTGCCAGTGGTACAGCAGCGACCGTCCGGAGGCGGAGCCGCTGCCGGGCGTGTACGAGCGCCAGTGCAGCCCGTTCCAGCGGCTCATGCTGCTGCGCTCGTTCCGCGTGGACCGCGTCTACCTGGGCGTCACCGACTACGTCACCGAGATCATGGGGGAGAATTACGTCACGCCGCCAGTGCTCAGGTGAGTGGGCTGCTCGATTCAGCCCTGTACAGGCTGCTGACTGTCGGCGTCCGATCGAGCCCTGTACAGGCTGCTGACTGTCGGCGTCCGATCGAGCCCTGTACAGGCTGCTGACTGCTGGCGCCCGATCGAGCCCTGTACAGGCTGCTGACTGCTGGCGCCCGATCGAGCCCTGTACAGGCTGCTGACTACTTGCGCTCGATTCAGCCCTGTACAGGCTGCTGACTGCTGGTGCTCGATCCAGCCCTGTACAGGCTGCTGACTGTTAGAGCTCGATCCAGCCCAGTACAGGCTGCTAACTGCTGGTGCTCGATTCAACCCTGTGCGGGCTGCTGACTGCTGGTGCTCGATTCAACCCTGTACAGGCTGCTGACTGTTTGCGCTCGATTCAGCCCTGTACAGGCTGCTGACTGTTGGTGCTCGATTCAACCCTGTACAGGCTGCTGACTGCTGATGCTCGATCCAGCCCTGTTCTATTTGCCCAAGCCTTATGTCCTCGGTTGAGCAAGAAATTCGTGCCCATGATACCATTAAACCTCATTTGTACCTGCGATATGTTGATGACATTTTAGTCGACATCAAAGATCTTACCGCTCTGAGCACGTCGAAAGCCAAACTATTATTTGTATCAGGCCTCAATTTTACCATCGAGGAAAGCTTTCGGAATAGAATAAGTTTTTTGGACGTATCAATGAATGCTTCAGACGAGACTTTTGCAGTCAGCGTCCACCGGAAGTCTGCTGACGCCGACAAAGGCCTGGACAGAGAGAGCATGTGTCCCGACAGGTACAAGACCTGTGTTATACGGACTTACATCCACCGTGCCCGTACGCATTGCTCCTGATGGACCCTTTTACACCTGGAGCTTAAGCGAGTCAATCAAATCGTAGTCAACAATGAATACGGCCTGCGCACTGTGGAAGATCAGATCAACCGGACCATGTCTCAGTACCTGAAACCGAAACCAAGAACAGAACATCAGAATACGTACCACCTGTTCTTTAAAAAACTATGTTGCCGCCTGGATATAAAGCTGACGAAAAAGCTCTGCAAAACATCGTCCACCACAATTGCCAAACGAAGGATCCCAATGGCACCATTAAACTCAACATCTCTTGCCAGAGTCCGACTACATCCTCCTTGAGCATGCAAAGTAGCACTTCGCATGATTCGGGTCCACTCAAAGAAAACAACGTCATGCATCACTATCAATAGCAAGATAGGAGACTGTGCGCTTCTTCTAACAGTGCATATATTGGCCACACAACAACGACACTTTCCAGACGCTTGATTACGCACCTAGAAAACGGCGGCCCACGCACACGCACGGAGACCCAACACAAAACCCACCTGACACGCCAAATGCTAAACAACAACACAAGAGTCATCGCACGCTCTATATGTACATCGGCAGAAACTCGTCGTCCTAGGAGCAATATACCTCCGCGAATGGGATCCTCTCATTAGCGAACAAAACAATGCGCGTGGAGCCCTCCATCTGTACGGAGGGTCACCGTTAGAGCGGAGAGCGCAGAGGTATTAAGTGTTGCGTGTCGCGGGTATACATTGGTACTTGACAATGATGGGTATGTGTAATGCGTGAATGCTTGGGTCTGTATTGCGGTATGTATGTGGTATGTTTCGCCATGTCCCGATACACCGATATTGTAAAAAACTGATGCATTGTGACTATTCTAACATGAGATTCATGTTATAATCGTCACGAAAGAATCTAAATTTTACAAACACGCGATTATATCGACTTTGCCTCAAACTGTCATTCTAGAAAATATCTTATGAAGGATGAAACGTTGGGAATATAACTTATACCAGGTCATGTAATATGACAACATACATCTTTTATCATGAGATTTGGTGCCATTTTAAATGAGCATCGAGAAAAAGTGAAAGTCGTCATCAGATTTATTGAGAAAACATCGAAAACATCATTCAGTAATGAGTCCGCTGTGATTTTCAACAAAAAATATGCTTCCTGACTTTATAATATATATATATATATGTATATATATATATATATATATATATATATATATATATATATATATATATATATATATTGATAGCACACGGTGTTGTTTTCCCCAGACGCTAGTCTTATCTAGGACATCATCTGATCTGCGTGAGACGACCGGACTACGTACATCTGTTTACGGTGTCGTGGTCATTGGGGCTTTGTGACGCACTCAGCAGCCGAGGCTATATGGCGTCGCCTGCCTTTCATCCTGGCGGTAAGGTCATTCACCTCGGGCTGTTTCCGGTGTCCGCCTTACACACGAACTGGTAAAACAACTGCTGAAGAGCGGCGCGGAGCGTGAACACTGGGGTGATTGGCCGCCGGTGCTGGCCAGGTTCGAGGCGATCCTGGAGCAGTCCGCGCCCACCACGCCCGTGGTGTTCATCCTGTCGCCGGGAGCAGACCCGGCCGGCGACCTCATCAAGCTGGCCGACAGGAACGGCTTCGGCTCCAGCCGGATCAAGTTCCTCTCGCTCGGCCAGGGGCAGGAGGAGGTGAGCTCGATGTAACGCGTGGACGTGCGTTACAGCAGCGATGGTAAGCTGCTGTTGAATTTTGGAATGTTGGCGTGGCTTGTCGTATGCCACGTGGTTGCGTGGCCTGCAGTGCAGGACCAGTTGAAAGAAATAGACATGGATCGATGTCAAACCGGACCATGTGCATGTTACGCGACCGTGAGTGGCCCGCGGGAAAGCGGATTCATGGATCGTGCTGCCAGTGTCACGACTCTGCTAGTTCTGCCGCAAGACTTAGGAACAATTCTAGATTTAAGTCGCTTCTTGCATTTTGCTTGTTATGCCATCATCGACCGGTGTAGCCCGTTAAAGAGCTTGCCATCAACGACCGGTGCAGCCTGTTGGAGAGCTTTTGGAATGACCGTCTCGCCTGAATAGGGTCTCATTTTTGCCCCCAAAACAATTCTAAAAATATTTTACAAAATATTTTGAATCCCGTTTCACAGATTGGGGCAGTATAGCAGACGCCCACATGACGTCAAGTGCATTCGGGGCTTTGCATTGTATTTGGGCCTTTGTTCAGAAGACGTAATTTCCATGCGCCGCGTTTGACACCTCTTTCGCTATAAAGTTGTTTCTTATGCACCTGCAGTGTCAGGTGGATGTACTGCGTATCTTTGCCGCCAGAGAGCAGCATTCCGCGCGGGTACAATGTCAGACTGCTATATCGCGCACCTGACCCCGTCAGACCGCTATGCCCCACGCACCTGTAGCGTAAAACGGCTGCACTGTACATCTGTCCCGTCAGGAGGCCGTAATGCCCCTCCTAGCCGCCTGGCTGCTGCGTACTGTGCGCCTGAACGGTCAGACTGGCGTACTTTGTGCACAGGCGCTGCCAGCTGACTGTATCATTATGCGCCTAGTCGCCAGACGGCCACATTGTGCATCGGCACCGCCCGACGGCTGCATTGTGCCTCCACACCGGCAGACGGCGACCCACCTGATGGAGGCGGCCGTGGCGCGCGGCCACTGGCTGATGCTACAGAACTGCCACCTGCTGGTCAGCTTCCTCCGACAGCTGGAGAAGGAGGTGGAGCAGCTGCACAAGCCGCACCCGGACTTCAGGCTCTGGTTGACAACCGACCCCACACCGGGCTTCCCCATCGGCATACTGCAGCGCTCCTTCAAAGGTGCGGCCGCCGGCCACAGTTTCACTGTTTGGTCAGCTGCGTGTACGTCACACCTTATTAAACGATGCCTCGCATATATATATATATATATATATATATATATATATATATATATATATATATTGTTAGCGAGCAAAACGGGCTATCGCTGCCGGCGCGGCGGCGGCGGCTCCGCGAGGGTGTGAGCGGCCCCTCTGCCGATTGGTTCCCACCATCTGGAGCCAATAAACCCACGTGGGTTTATGGAGACACGCGGGCGGGGACGCACGGTCCCTGCCGAGCAGTCCACGTTCAGACTCCGCCGGCGCGGCTTGATGCTAGCCGCCACAGCGTTTACGACGACGACGACGACGACTTCGGAGTGTGCGAGGCCGCCCTTCCAACCCCTCTGTCACCTTTGCCTTGCAACTCTTTGGCTAAAAGAGACTCTTCCCTTTCAACGTCTCAAGTCGATGGTCCTCCGGAATACTAACGAACTCTTTCGCACAGACACACACACACACACACACAACACACACACACACACACACACACACACACACACGCACACGCACGCACGCACGCACGCACGCACGCACGCACGCACGCACGCACGCACGCACGCACGCACGCACGCACGCACGCACGCACGCACGCACGCACGCACGCACGCACGCAGTGTTGCTGTCGACATTATCCAGAGCGATCTCTTCGGACAACGTTTTTGCCTAGTGTTACTACAAACAGCGTAGATGCTGTCAGAGGGCCTAAAATGTGCTCGATAAGCTGCAGGGTAGTTTTCTTAAACGCATGCAAACCCACGCAATCGCACGTGCACTCGCACGTCGTCAGTGACGTGCAACGAACAGAAATGCCACTTGATGGCAGATCGCGGGAGCGACAGAGTTCCCTGTGTCTGGTCAATTTTAAATGGTTGGGCTGGTACGGGACATCAGCCATCGCACGTCAGGATCTGCTCCGTGGTGGCTGTGTTGAGCAAAGTAATCTCGCACGTAAGTGACATGTCTGCTGTCATATACCATCCTGGATATAATCCGCCCAGACATTGCCCATTCAAGTTCAACCATTCTCCGTATTGTGCGGTATTCATATGGAAAGTGGATGTTTTTCTTCGCTGGAAGGCATCGCCGTTGACGTGTTTACCCACACCCAAGTCACCATGCGCCGCTGACGGGTCTAAGCCGGCCGTTAATGACCTTTTGGCAGTGGTGACGGAGCCGCCGAACGGCCTGAAGCTGAACCTGCGCAGCACATACTTCAAGATGCCGAGCGCCGTGCTGGACACCAGCTCGGAGCACCCGGCCTTCCCCACGCTGGTCTACGTGCTCTCGTTCTTCCACGCTGTCATACTGGTCCGTCATCTACGCTCTGACACGCTTACGTTATGCGCCCCAAAGCACGGAAACGCAATTTTCTTTTAGACTTGGTTTTTGTTTTTCTTTGCGTTTTCTGTTTATTTAGCACCGCAGATTTCACGGATTGTAACGCGTGCGGCACCTGGGCGCCGTTTGATACAGGACAGAAACGTCACACCGCCATTACGTGGCAGCCAAGGACACACATGGGGGATACAATAGCCAAAGTCTGACGGCCCTCCGCGCCACTGAGGCGGTGTGTCCGACACAGCAATGTGACGAGTGGGTTAGGAGAGCGAAACGTGAGTGGGAGAAGTAAGGCAACAGGTGGATAACATATGGAGACGCAGGTTGATTCAGAACGATGACATCCTGAAGGCGGTCTTCGTGAATGTTGGAGGTAATAGGCAGGTGGACAGGCCAGCATAGAACACGGTAGATGGGGCGGAGAGCGCTCGAGGAAAGAGAGCGTAGGAGGGAGAGAGAGAGAGGGAGAGAGAGAGGAAGAGAGAGAGGGAGAGAGAGAGAGGGGGAGAGAGAGGGAGAGAGAGAGAGAGGGAGAGAGAGAGAGGGAGGGAGAGAGAGGGAGAGAGATAGAGGGAGAGAGAGAGATAGAGAGAGAGAGAGAGAGAGAGAGAGGAGAGAGAGAGAGAGAGAGAGAGAGAGAGAGAGAGGAGAGAGAGAGAGAGAGAGAGAGAGAGGTGAGATAGAGAGGAGAGGAGAGAGAGAGAGACGTGTCCCCCGATATCAAATCTCCACGCGGCATTGCTCCAGGTTGTCACTACGAACGTCAATGCTGCCGTGGAGAGGGCGAGGAACAACGCTGTTACCATGCGCTTCAGCTTACAGTTTCGTCGACGTTGAATCAGTCGAGCAATCTTATCTAGATTTGGAGGATTTATTTGCGTGGTGGTAGCGATATGTGTAAGCATGTCAAGCCAAATGCGTTCTGATACTGTGACTAACAACGCTGCATGTGCTGTTCGGCCCAGGAGCGGCGCAAATATGGCCGTGTTGGCTTGAACGTGGCCTACGACTTCAACGAGTCCGACTTTAACGTGTGCCTGGACCTGCTGACCACGTACCTGAACAAGGCGCTGGAGGCGCAGGACGTGCGGCTGCCCTGGGGCAGTCTCAAATACCTGATGGGGGAGGTAAGAGGCAGAGCACCGCGGAGTCGAGCTCTGCACCTTGGTCTGGATGACAAAGTCTGTTTCAGCTAAGAGGGATGATCCGGGATATCGGCACATGCACAACACGGCATATATCATATCAGCAATATTGAAACATGCGCAATGCCATCATCCGACTGTCCCGTGCGAATTGGATTCTGCGCTGCCGCTTGCCAGATGACCGCCTTATACCTGGCCATGGGAATTGGGTCCAAAATCACTTTTGTTTTGGTGTTAGCACTGCTGTCTGTTTATTGCAGCAGCATAATGACGCTGGCTCTGTTGGCCCAATTGACCAGGCTCCATGTTCGGCTGGGTAAAGCAGAAATGGGAGAACGGTCACAATGTCTGGTTTGTGTGTGCGCTTACGGCGTTCTGCTTGATTCTCAGGAAGGAACCAGATTGCTATCAGAATTGTGATGCTGTGTAAGGCTTGTTTGTTTCGTTTGTTGTGTATAGCAATTGTTGTTTCTTGGTTTTCAGGTCATGTATGGTGGTCGAGTCATTGACGACTTTGACCGTCGTGTGGTGGCTACATACATGGAGGAGTACATGGGGGATTTCATCTTTGACAAGTTCCAGCCCTTCCACTTTTATAAAGACACCGAGGCGAGTGGAACATATATAAGCCTATCGTGTCTCGAATCTGTTTGTTCTCACTGGTAGCGGTGTCTGGCCATCATGCCATCTGGCCAGATGCCATCACGATGATGCCACCATGATGCCATGATGCCATCATGCCATGGCCATCTGGCGAAATGCAAGTACCACTTCGCAAGTGCCCAGCCTGTGGATGCAAAAAAACAACCGTTGTCCAGCCCTGGTTCACATCCACTGCGCAGTGCCAGCTTCATTGCACAACCGTTTATTGCTTTGAGTCTGCCAGTTGGCCTGACCTGCCTGATGTCATGTGACAGGTGGATTACGCGGTCCCGGAGGTTGGCAACCGGGACAGCTACATCACCAGCATCGAGGAGCTGCCGCTGGCCAGCGGACCCGAGGTGCTGGGCCTCCATCCCAACGCTGAGATCGGCTACTACACATTCTCCGTGCGCGACATGTGGCTGCACTTGGTGGAGCTGCAGCCGCGAACAGGTCGGTTCGCTGCACAGCGCCGCCGTCGGCGCTCAATGACGGATATTCAGTCAATACGCACAGTGTGCCCATTCACCAGAGCCAGAACGCGAACTAGGGCTGCGGGCGATGTTGATACACCGTTGATGGTATGGGCTTTGATCCTGTGCCAATACAGTACTGCTTCCCAATGCGGCCACGTTTGCCACATATAGTCCCTTTCAGGTGGGCTCCACATTATTACGCACCAACGCGCGCTTTAGAACTGCGGGCCGTACGGTAGGTACTGAATCATCGTGATGAAGTCCTACATTGCCTGATGCATGGGGAAGTGGGGATCGTCTTTAATGCACAAAACCATGCTGCGGGAAAATATTGCGTCCGTGTTTTGTGCGGCTTTTCGTTAAGTCATGACACTCGGTGACACCGCACATTTCCTTTGCACAAGACACACATGGAATAATGAATTGTGTCGTAAGATATATAAAGTATAGCCGGTTTTTCATTTATAAGGCCGGCGACAGCCAACAGCCTCAGGTATAAAACTGTCGCATTCAATTATGTCCTTCATGTCGGAGAAGCGCTGTTAAAGAGTAATTACTTAAGTTTCGTGCGTGAAGATGCCTGGAATGCGCGTCAACAAGCGCTAACACGACATGCAATTCATCGGAATGATACCCCAGAATGGCTTTGTTTCAGTTTGTTCTGTCACGCGGCAACACCAGCATGCCACCTTGTAGTCAGTTGGCCGCGCTCTTGAGATGCGTTGCCGGCACAGCGGGCATACTCCGCCGCCGTCAGTGCGGCCGAGCGGCGCTCAGCGGGCAGTGACGCCGCGCGCGTGCCGCCCCGGCAGGCAGCAGCGAGTCGGGCGTGAGCCCCGAGGCGTTCGTGGAGAAGCTGGCCTCGGACATCCTATCGAGGATGCCGGCGGCCACCGACCTGCGCCGCCTGCGACGACAGTACGCCGCCAGCATGACGCCCACCACGGTGGTGCTGCTGCAGGAGCTCGAGCGCTTCAATTACCTCATCAAGAAGATGCTGCAGACGCTCTCCTCGCTGGGAAAGGTGAGTGGAGCAGTCTGATCCGCGTGATTAAGGTCCGCCGCCCGTACGTCGCCAGGCTGATATTTAGTAGTCCCTGTGTTCTTGTTTTGCATTCTGTTTTGGTAGGGTCAGCCCTCTCTCCAAATATTGGGTTGCTGGACTCGTCTCCGTTTATGTCGGCTTTTTGTCACATGGAATTTGCGGTGTCCATACGGTGGCTGACGTTCGCAACAGCGACGGTGTCCAGTGGCGGCTGAAGACGTGTGTCTGTGATGGCAGGCACTGGCCGGGGAGATCGGCATGGACGCCGAACTGGACAACGTGTTCCGCTGCCTCTACAACGGCCAGCTGCCCGACTCGTGGCGGAAGCGAGCCCCCATCACGTGCAAGGACCTGGGCGGCTGGATGGAGCACTTTCAGCGCCGCGTTCAGCAGTACAGCGACTGGGTGCGTTTCGGACCGTCGCGCCGCTCTCCGGTCGGCCGGGCTGGCCGGGCCGGGCTGTATGCCGGGCAGGCAAGCCCCCCGACGGGCTGCGCAGATTAGCTGCCGGGTTTAAGTGGTGACCAATGATGCGTGTAGGTATGGGAGAAAATTATAAATGATAGATGATAAAGGCGGATGACTGCGATCAGCGTTTTACAATGGCTCCCAGTGTGGTTCAGGTGTCGTCAGTGGAGGGTTTTAGCGCTAGGAGGCGACGAGTACCATTTTGGGGAGCGGTAATCATGTTAATGCTGCTTCACGCAAAGGAAGACCGGCTGATGACAAGCGTCCTCAGCACTCGACATTTATAAACATCAACCTGCCCTAACAACACACCTCACCAGTGCAGTGTAGTGTAGGCCGGGCGGCTGCGGCCCTCCGACTACCGACTGACTATCCCCAGTGTATAGCCGGCGGCTGCGGCCCCCCGCCCCCAGCGTATGGCCGGCGGCTGCGGCCCTCCGCCCGGCCCGACTGTCCCCAACGTACAGCCGGCGGCTGCGGCCCTCCGTCCGGCCCGACTGTCCCCAACGTATAGTCGGCGGCTGCGGCCCGTTGCCCGGCCCGACCGTCCCCAGTGTATAGCCGGCGGCTGCGGCCCTCTGCACGGCCCGACCGTCCCCAGTGTATAGCCGGCGGCTGCGGCCCGTTGCCCGGCCCGACCGTCCCCAGTGTATAGCCGGCGGCTGCGGCCCTTTGCCCGGCCCGACCGTCCCCAGTGTATAGCCGGCGGCTGCGGCCCTCCGCCCCCAGCGTATGGCCGGCGGCTGCGGCCCTCCGCCCGGCCCGACTGTCTCCAGCCTGTGGTCGGTGACTGCGCTCTGCCTGACGCCCTCTGCTCCCGCCGCCCCGGCAGATCAACTGTGGCGAGCCGCAGGTGATCTGGCTGTCGGGCCTGGCCATCCCCGAGTCCTACCTGACGGCGCTGGTGCAGGCCACCTGCCGCAACTTCGGCTGGCCGCTCGACCGCGCCACCCTCTTCACGGAAGTGACGCAGCACACCAACCTGGAGGAGGTGCACGAGCGGCTGACAGGAGTGAGTCGTCCGCCGGGCCGCGGCGCCGGCCGCGCGCCGTCACGCGGCTGCCTATGGCCATAACAAGGAAGTGAACTGTCAATAACTCCGTGTGGGGACAAACATCTCTGAGAAACATTTCGTTTGTGACGTCGTAGCTCAGTGGCCTGACCAAGCATCGAATATCGCTCTTGTCTAGAGTGCATGCAATCTTTTGCTTGCTGGGCGTGCAAAATTTAGCGTGGCCACCTGAAAGCGTTCGGAAGTTGTTCCTGACACTCAAAGAGGAGGGTTACTTCTGTCTCTCCCCCCCCCCCCCCCGCCAGACGGTTGTGGGTTGAGATCGCGACTGGTCAGATTTTGGCGTTGTGGGAATAATTTTGAGTTCAGACGGGTGGTAAATAAGTAATTTTCTGTAGGATTTATCGAAGGAGGACTTCGGAGCTTCTTTGATACCACTGCGTCGCCTTGTACAAAGGAGAGGTTTATACGAGCAGTGTCCGGTGAGCGTTTTAGTCTGACATCAGGCGCCTTCTTCAAGGCCAAGTTTCGTCCGCTCGCTCGCCCATGTGCATCACCACTTGGTCGCTGACTGACTGCCACTGCAGGGGTGCTACGTGGAGGGCCTGTTCCTGGAGGGGGCCGGCTGGAACGTGGAAGAGGGCCATTTGGAGCGAGCCAAACCAGGCCAGCTGATCCAAGAGCTGCCCATCTTGAAGGTTGTGCCCATCGAAGTTCAAAAGCTTAAACTTCAGGTGGGTCTTTGCTTATTCGAGTGCAATGGGGTTCGTGTTCTGTGCGGATGAAACGTCTCCTACAGCGCATTCGTCGACAAAAACACACCGGAAAGTGATTTGTGTCATTTGATTCAATAATCTGACGTACGATACCCTGGAAACGCGTGCGGAGGAAGTGCTGCGCCGATCTGCTGTCGGCTGCCAGCGGAGCATGGCGTCAACATGGTCCGTAGTTGATTGCTTGTGTCAGTGACGTGAACGAACGGGACGAGTGCTATGGACAGAGATCGCTTGTACCCTTGAATATCTGTCATTATAGATGCAAGGAGTGGAATCACCATGTAATACGTGTTGGATATTATTTATGTAGCGTGGGTGCCCCAGGGAACGGTTTTACGCTTGGTAGTAAACAGAAGTAAGCTTCATCTTCAATGTATTCCAAACTTCTGACTAGGAGCCGTGGGGTTTGCGCAGTCAGCTGAGTGGTGTTCAGCCTCTCGCTGGCCGCCAGCCCGTGTCCACTCGCTGCCGGTCCGGCTTGACACCCGGCAGCGAGTGCACGTTACTAGGCCCGGGGTGTGCCCGGTCCGGCTTGACACCCGGTAGCGAGCGCACGTTACCAGCCTCAGGGTGTGTCCGGTCCGGCTTGACACCCGGTAGCGAGCGCACGTTACTAGGCCCAGGGTGTGCCCGGTCCGGCTTGACACCCGGCGGCGAGCGCACGTTACTAGGCCCAGGGTGTGCCCGGTCCGGCTTGACACCCGGTGGCGAGCGCACGTTACCAGGCCCAGGGTGTGCCCGGTGCGGCGGGTGACGCTGGTGTGTGGCCGCCGGCCGGCAGGACACGTACCGCACGCCCGTCTACGTCACCTCGCAGCGGCGCAACGCGGCCGGCGTGGGCCTGACATTCGAGGCTGACCTCTTCACCAAGGAGCACCTCTCGCACTGGATCCTGCAGGGCGTGTGTCTGCTGCTCAACACGGACTGATCGGGCGGCCGCCGGGCGCTTCTCATCTGCGACTGGGCGGAGCTCGCCCCTGTCTGGCACCGCCTGGTGTCTGTGTTCTGCTCGGCTCGGAAGGGGCCGCCGGCTGCAGCTGGGTAAAGCTCGCCCCTCCAGCACGGCCCGATGTCTGTGTTCCGCTCCGCTCAGGAGGGGCCGCCGGCTGCAGCCGCCCCCCCCCCCGCGGTTCACCTGGCCTGTGCTCGCGTGGGCGCCGCAGGCTAAGACGGCGTCGCTTCGCGACCGGCGCCAGGACTGGTCACCGAGCGCGTCACCTAGGTGTTTCATTGCGGACGCTGTCGTGCAGCGTTGGCTTGGTCGTCTCGTAGATCGCGATTAGATGCTATAATTAGGTGCGCATGATTAGGCTATGATTAGCTTAGATGCTGGCGTATGAGTCGGTGAGTGCCCGAGATTGGGACCAAAAATTACTTTCGTGCATGTTATTCGCAGGAGTACTGCAAAGGTGCACATTGTCGCTCGTCTTTCTTGTTGATACGTAAGGAGAATCAAAGCTCTGATGATGAAATATAGGATGGTGGTGCGTGAACTTATTTCAATCTGGCATGTTTGATAACCAACAGCTTCAGAAACCGTGACCTGTATCTCAGGGATCTGTCCCTCTATGGACCGGTCAGACTTGTGATGCCATGCCCGCAGCGTATCTGCATCCAAGCATATGGAGCATGTGCTGCATATGCTGACCTTCGCTTGGGGGTTTGCATTACGAACCCTTAATGCGGATTCAAGACCTACTTGTGAACGGCAAAAGGAATCACTATCATGAATTGGTTGTCGAACAGCTTGCAAACTAATTGAGGACTGCTATGGCCCAAAGAAGTATGGAGAACATGAATGCATTATTCGCGCGGTGAAAATGGCTCATCAGTTTATGTGGCTTTTAGCCGAAACGGGGGTAGTACAATCTAACGCACACGTGAGTGGAAGCGTGCGCTAGGCTACAACAGGCTCATTTCGTAAGAAATCCACTGGAATTGCTTTGCCATAACGGTCGAATCTTGGTCGGCGCTGGACTCACAGTGGAATGTCTGCCCCCCCCCCCGCCCCCCCCCCCCCCCACCTTTACTCTACACATACGAGTGTCGTGTCTCGGCTGTATTACGGCCATTGCAAGATCACGTACAGTACACATCAAGATGCAGTTTTTGTCATGCCCTTGACCGCTATATCAATGCTGGACTACTATCATGCGTGCAGCACAACGCCATAGTTATAAATACGCCACAACGCCACAGTTATAAATACACACACTAAAATGTCATACGATATACGTTTTGATTATTACGTTTGATCTTTAACTGGAAAATGCAGAGAGTAACAAACGGCTGTCACTTTACATGCCTACATGCCTACATGCCATTTTACTGCCTAAATCGCTCGGCTCTTAACACAATCACTCGAAGCGTAGGGCGATTCCTGAGAACGTATAGCACCTCTGTTAGTAGTATTCATATCGGTGTGATCTGTTGCAGTTGATAATGCTGGGGTGAATGCGTGGGTTCTTGGTTCTCCAGGGGCTGGGACAAATGGTTTCAGGACACCAAGACCGTAACAACACTGTGCGGACTTAGGATATCGTAAGCACTTCTGAACCGAACCAAAGTTGGGGTGGCCGGTTGCTATTCAGATCTCAATGTCAAGGATCGCTTTCCAAGCGCTCAGTTATTCACGCAATGTAACAGTAAAGTCCGTTGCACATGTTGATTCCATGTGGTTTTTGTAGTACATATGCTGAAACGGACCCGTAAGTATTGTTGAGGGGACCCTCCGAAAAAGCCACGAAGGGGATCAGGCTCGTGTGATCGCTTTCCAAACGGATGTGCTACTGCCGTTCAGGGGCAAATAGGTCAGTTGGTCAGCAGGTCTTCTGACTTGCGCATGGGAGATCCTGGTTGATTCCAGGCCGACGTCACGTGACGCGGGCCCGTATATGAGCGCAGTGGGCTGCGTGGTGCCGCACGCTGTGCAACCTTTCAATTAAAGAGGCGCGATATAAGCATCGTCATGAACCAACCTCAACGCACATGATCATACATCGACCCGTGTTTGGACCAGGAACGGGAAGTAATGTAAAGGGCGCAGCCGGATTGCCCCTCCATAGCGAGCGCCTCGTACTGCAGCAGCAATCGCGGTCCATCGCTGCACCGCCGCTTCGCCCGGTGCCTGCGGTGCGGCGGCTACGGCGCGTCGAGCCGCGCGGCCGGCCGCTGCTGCGGGGCGCACTGGGGGAACGCCTCGTCACAGAGCGAGTCCGCCGGCCGGGCCGCGGTCAGGCGCCGCGCGTCCGGCCCGTCCGCGGCCGCCGTCCCGGAGAAGGCCCAGCTGTGGATGAGCCGGCGACGGAGCGTCACGGCCGAGCACGCGGTACCGCGCGCGTCACGTCAAACCGGACGGTCACGAATGGACTGCGGCGATGGGCACGACTCCCCCCCCCCCCCCACTCACTGAATAAAACGGCGACTGGGGGAGGGAGGCTAATGTCCTCTTACCCCAACGTACATTACGTAAATAGTTTTGTCGGCTTTTCCGTCCCCTTTAGGCGTCTTGTGAGCAGACATCCATTCGCTCCAGTGACAGATACCAGCCAAATGTCGGGACAAAGGCCTGGCATCCCACTGTGACTAAAAGTTACGGTTCGTTGTGCGCAAACAGATCGCCGAATTCCTCGGGGACCTGGCGTTGACAGGTTCCTCGCCTGCGACAGATCGCGGTTAACGGACCCTTGTGCGGCATCTTTGCGTGGCAGCCCGTGCTGTGGGTGCTCGGAGTAGTTGCGTGACGTCACGTGCTGAGGCGGACGAGGGGCTCACCTGGCTGCGGACGTCAGCGCCTCCCACGCGGTGCCTCGGCTGATCTGGCACAACCGGTACCGAACGCAGCCGCGCTCGTGCCGCTGGATGGCGTTTTCCAGGAGCACCAGCACTTTCAGAGCCTCCTCGTCGATCAGCTGCGAGTCGCCACGATCCAGGCTTCGGCCAATAATTGTCGCTATGCTGGCTCCGTCCTGCCGGAGGCCGACACCAGGGGATCGAGCGCGTCCTCTGGGGGCACGCACACCCTGTGCACGCATGCAGGAGTGCTGAGAAATTGCAGGCAGCGTACGTAGGCAGGGGGAGATGGCGAATTCGATCACCCCATTGGCCTGGTCACGTGGCTCCATCTCGCGCCCTTACAATGGCTCATCACTCCGGTAACCTGCTGCGGCCGAGAGGCATCAGACGGCCAGCAGTCGCCGTCATTGGGAGGCCCGCTCTGACCTCGACGCACCCGTCGTAGGGTTTCTGTGCCGGACAAACCTTGACAACGGAGATAACATGGAGTCGCCGCAGTACTTACGCGCCTATTTCCCACATTGTTAATTTATTTGCTCTACGATGGTGTTCTCGGAGCGGAGGGGCTCTAACTTTACCAACTTCGGCAATGGTAGCGGGAGTGTGATGTGGTTGTAAGCCATCGGCGGACGTGATGGTCGTCCTGGTGGGGACCCGCGGAGTGTCCTGGTTGAGAGGTCCACCGGAGTGCCCTAGTTAGGGGATCCACCGGAGTGTCCTGGTTGAGAGGTCCACCGGAGTGTCCTGGTTGAGAGGTCCACCGGAGTGCCCTAGTTAGGGGATTCGCCGGAGTGTCCTGGTTGAGAGGTCCACCGGAGTGCCCTAGTTAGGGGATCCGCTGGAGTGTCCTGTTTGAGAGGCCCGCCGGAGTGCCCTAGTTGGGGGATCTGAAGGACGTCTTGGTTGGGGATCCCGGAGCATCCTGGTTGGGGTGTCGCCGGAGTGCCCTGGTAGGAGGACCCACCGGAGTGCCCTGGTTGAGGGCCCATCGGAGTGCCCTATCTGGGGGTCCCGCCGGAATGTCCTGGCTGAGGGGCCGTCGGAGTGCTTTGGTTGGGGGACCCGCTGGAGTATACCCGCCGCCCATAATCCAGTCTTGGCTTGGGTTTCTTACTAGGAGAAAACTTTTTATCTCTCTCCTTAGTCCCATAGTTCGTCAATTGTGGCCCCGAAAGGCCCAGTCCAGCTAAGCCGACCACCGGCCACAAAGCGTGACAGACAGGTTGTAAACCCCGCGTTCTAATCCTACTTGCTGCCCGTTGTCGGCTCAATGCACCGTCACGAATCGATTACACCCATCTCTATCGTTTGAAAATTGTAGTTTTGACGGATTCGTGACTTCCTGATTTAAGTGGCACATTAAGCAATCGGATCCTTATCGGCTCTCTCACGGCACCAGGGCTGCGTGACCAAACTGCTCAGTAAGTACTAAGTTGGCTGTACTTACACTTGCAACGGCGTTCAATGCTACCAGCACCACGTAGGCTATCACCAGACCGACCCCGACCATGTACGACAGGAACGTAACCACCGCGTCGAAAGTGATGAACTTGGGAAACTTGAACCTGGATCCACGGTGTCCACCGCCTCCAGAGCGCGTGGACTTGCGCGGGAAGATCCTGAAACCGGCCGACAGGTTTAACAATTGACGCGTAGCTCACACACCCGCAATGATTCATTGCTTACATTAACAGCGCGGAGAGGTGCACCACTCCCTGAAATATGAACGAAAACGCAAACAGCAATGTTCAGTGGTGTATTACAAAAGCATCGTTTACTGTAAACATGCTTTGTATTCGCGACTGGGAGTGTAACGTCGCATGCAGGTTCATAGCTTCAAAAGCTAAAAATGCAACATTATAGCTCCAAAAATGTCAGGGAGATGATAGTTGGCGTGTGTGGATTGGCTGGAATGCTCGGATCGGCTTCTGCTTTTTTATACATTTGAAGCGATCAGGACCGCGATGATGCACCCATTGCCAAATTAAGGCGCCCTGGTATCAGACAGGGCGGTGACCACCTGACCGAGCCGAAAATAAAATAATACGGTACGCTAACATGACTTGAAATGAGCTGCACGGAGGTTATGTTGAATGGTTGTGCACCTACCGCACCAACCATATCCAAATAATT